TAACACTATGTATAAGAGAAACGAAGACGCAATGAAGCAAATCAACCACTACTGCCAAGACAAAGATGTTCTTTCGATTTTTGAGGAATAAAAATATCGATTGTATGTTCATCTGACAGACAACATAATCCGTAAATTAATCTGAAATCATTTGGGAGTATACATTCATACTGCATAACTGAAAATCACTACTCGAACCGATCCTGTATATATAGCTTCTTATTCTACATCTTGTTAGCCCATTGATATGTGCTTGGCTAGACCACAGCGTCTGACACATGTTTCATATTTGGATATTTTACTTGAAAAAGACGGTAATAGTAATCAACAACCAAGCTCTATGATGAACGTGATGACTTAAACTTTTCTATCGTCAGCTTCCCTTACTTATGCAGCAATATACCTTCATCACTTGCATACGGAGTTTATATATCTCAGTTGATTCGATACGCAAGAGCATGCTCTACGTATGAACAATTTCTAAAACGAGGTATATCATTGACAAACAAGTTAATCAAACAAGAAAATCAGTAGTCTCGTTTAAAGCCATCATTTCGTAAGTTCTTTGGTGGATACAATATGCTGACTGACGTTTTTCACACTGATTGTTAGCTCATTATTTATCCTCTAAACTGACGACGAATTCTTCCGTTATTTCCCGATCATGACAAGGAGCACAAGGCGGGTGTGACCGGTCGGCAGGTCTTTGTTTGCTCTGCTCCTATTTTGCATTATTTTATGGACTTTTGATCTTGAATACTGTTCGTTACAGTGTCTCCATATATTTCATTGTTTTTTGGTCATTAAAGCCAATTTATTATATTGAAAGGCAATGAAATCAAATTATACTTGCTTTAAAATTTGATCAAATCTGTAAGAATGGAAACTTTGCAGAGTTCTTTTAAAAGTATCCATGTAATATTTAAAGTCTTTTCATTGACAGATTAATACAAGAGTACATCTAGATATTGTGTCTGTTATGAAGAATATAAAGAATGAAATATTTAAAATTGGAAAATCTGCTTTGTGGTAGCCAGGTCCATTTGTTAACGTATGTGATAATGTCATTCAGTATACTTATGAAGCTAGATGCTCATTGATGTCCTGAGCAGGTGTCAAGCTGTAAAACATAACCATTTGCATGGAATATACAAGAAATATACAGTCATTTTGTTCTTTTCTTGAAAGTTTGAAAAGTAAAACCTTTGCAATTTGCAATTAGGTAAAATACATTACGTGTCTTGAGGAGGATTCACAGCCATTTTAAACAAGCTTTTTATTTGCATGTTTATATTTTTCTTTCATTTTTCCTTTTAACCATTGAAATAAATAAAAAACAAAAACAAATGAGTTCTGCATGAAAAACAAACAAGTTTCATGAATGGATCATTTTTCCATCTTTTAAAAAGCACTTCTTTTTTTACAAAAATTGCAGACTATTGAATGTGTCATTGGCAGATTGTTGTGAAGTACACTAAAGTTCGATCGATCGATTTATGAATAGAAGTGTTCCAATGTGCATTCTTGTGCACTGGGATAATTGATACATACAACACAATGTAGAGATATTCCACAGTGCTCAAACGCTGTGTCCCGAAAAAGCTCTATTGCTTTCATGTCAACTGCGTCCATTGCTCAGCGTACTTATTTGTATCGCTTTCGTGTCATATGGATGTTTTGAAAAAGCTCTCCTGGGAGAATGTTAAATCTTATCAATGACTTATAACTTATGCAAGAGCTTGTATCGATAGAGTCTTAATTTAATTAGGTCGTGTTTGCTTGCTTTCGGTCATTTATTATTTATGGTGCAAATAGGAGTTGCTCGCCTGGTTTCTGTCAGATGACCACAACACATCACTTTTACAGTTCCACGCGGGACTGAGGATCGTCAATATATGATGTACAATCCCGTCAAATCTGGATTGTGACGTCCTGGGAGAATGGAAAAGCTTTAAAATATTGAAGGATTGTGTTGCAGCAAGTTTACAACAATGTAAACTGTCACAAATATTCAATGTTATGTCAACATGCTATACTAGTATAGCCCTTAACAGATATTTTTATCTGCTGTAAAAAAGAGCACTGGATCTTGAAACGAACTCAGAGCGAAATATATTGAAGTTAGAATCATGTTTTTGAGAGGCAAAATTGAAATCTAGACGAAGCCATGCATACGTGTATGTTTTAAATTTCTTGACAGGACCATTGTCAGATTTCTATAAAGAGATGAGTTTCGAGGAGTGGTACAATGTATCTCTATTTCCATTATTTGGTGGGTTCTGGTGCATTATAAAAGTTCTTATTTCAAATATTACTTATGATAAACAAAATCTATAAGCATAAAAAATCTTAATGCCTTTTTCTCAATAATTTTTTAATTAGATTTTTCCGTATTAAAGTTTAAATTTTGACTAAGAATTATATGTCAGTTTTGAATATTTTGAATATTCCAAAAAGCCAAAATGAATTTGAACTACCATATATATGTTAAATTCCAAAACTTCATAAGAATCCTTACAAACAACGATACATAGCAGGTTCCAGTAAATGTTGAACCAAGCCTCTTTCTTTATTCCTCATAAGATATTAACAGTAGTGAAGGAGAAACTTCAAGAGTACTGTGCAACAATATATTCAAGAAGTGGTGTAAATCAGATGTGGATACTTAAAAATTCCGAGGAACTTTTGGACATTTTTAAATCATCAGATTTTACCAAAATCAACAGCTTAAAAACTTAAGACTTTTCATCTTTATACACAATCATTCCCCACAATAAATTAAAGTCCAGGCTTTTTGATATCATTGACAGCTGCTTTTTCAATAAAAGTGGACCTCGTAAATTTATTTACCTTGTCATTGATTATTTGAAAAATTATTTTGTTAAAAATCATTCTGATTGCACATACAAGTACTCTGAAATTGACATAAAAAAGATGCTTGAGTTTCTGATTGACAATATCTACATGTGTGTTGTTTTTGGAGTCCAGGTCTTCCGTTATTAGCAGACCTATTTTGTATTCATATGAAGCAGAATTTGTGCAAATCTGATGCATGAAAAGACAAAAACACTTTCTGTGGCCTTCAACTCGACATTAAGATATATAGACGACGTATTGTCAATTAACAATGGTTACAATGGTAATTTTCATTCTTATGTCGATACGATATGTCCCGGTGAACTTGAGATAAAAGATACCATAGAGTCTGACACATCTGATTCATATTTGGATATTTTACTTGAAAGAGACGTTAATGGTAATCTAACAACCAAGCTCTATGATGAACGTGATGACTTTAACCTTTTCTGTTGTCAACTTCCCTTGCTTATACCTTCATCACCTGCATACGGAGTTTATATATCTAAGTTGATTCGCAAGAACATGCTCTACGTATGAACAATTTCTAAAACGAGGTAAATCATTGACAAACAAGTTGATGAATAAAGAATTTCAACAGTCTCGTTTAAAGCCATCATTTCGTAAGTTCTATGGTTGATACAATAAGCTTGTCAGCAAATACAATTTATCATTGAGTGAAATGCTGACTGACATTTTTCATACTAATTGTTACACTGTAGTCCATTATTTATACACTGAATTGACGACGGATTTTTTCCGTTTTTTCCCGATCATGACAAGGTGCACACGGCGGGTGTGACCGGTCGACAGGGGATGCTCGCTTCTCCGTCACCTGGTCCCACCTCTGATGTTTTGGAGGTCAATGTTTGCTCTGCTTACTTTGTATTGTTTTATGGACTTTTCGTCTTGAACGCTGTTCGTTGTCTCCATATGTTCCATGAAATAATAAATGTATCACAGTTCATCACTAAGTGTCAAGCCAAAATTTTAATTTGTATTCAGGTAGTCCGATCCTCAGGTTTATAACATTATAGCAGTTACGTAATCAAAAACTCATAAAAGTATCTCTGAATCCACAAAGTTATGTAAATTTATCCACAATATTTCTTCAAAGTTAAAGATTAAATATATCATATTATATAGGGAAAATTGTCAATCTCCAATATTTTTGCAGGAAAAGCGAATTGGAATATAAGCAATGTATTTTCTAATTGCATATTGATCAACAAATATATTCTAGGTTAAAAAAACGATAGGTATCCAGGTATTCAGAGAAATTGTCATATTTTTTTATATATACTTATTTGGTATCTTTTGTCTTCTATATCCGTCGTATATTCTATAATAAATAGTGTAAAAGGCTTTTGTTATCATTGCAAGGCACCACAAATCACTTCTCATTTCATATCATGCTAATAAGCATTGGTATCTAAGGCTTGATTCAAGAAAATCTTATTTCTCTAAAACTGTATTAATTTTTTTCTCCTTTTATAGGGTACAAATGTAAACTTTTATAAGACCTTCTCTATGACTTCCAAAGACCTTGAATCTTATAAAGATGAATGAAATGATAATTGTTGCATGGAAAAAATTCATTTTCAAGCTTCATTTTGATGCACTTCATATCAAATATCAATTTTTGGAGTCATTCTTCCTGGCTGACGATCGGATATCCTTAAAAAAAAACTAGTCACTCAGAGACTTTAGAAACTAAAACCTCATTATATGCATGTACTTTGAAATACAATTCGAGATAAATATCTTAAATAAAATCCCCCGTTTTGTTTCCATGGATACAGTTAAACCTTACCTGCTGCTTGTGGAGTATTTTGAAACAACAGTTTATTTTCTGTTGAAGACATATGTTTATAGTTCTGTGTTCCATTGTATAAAAGGGGATGTCTGAACAATACGAGTATATAGTAGATCTAATAATACTAATGCTCTGTAACCATACTGAAGATTTCATTTGCATTATTAATACATTACTCAAAATAAATGTAGAATTTTCTTACTATCCGTGATACACAAACCATACAATTTCAGTTTATTCTGAGTTTATTCTGAGTTATGTACAATTTCAAAAGATATGAAATGGTCCTTTTGGTTATTTTGAACTGAAATATTTTTTTCTTCAACAGGTGAATTACACGTACCTCTAGAGGTATGCGGGGCTGTGGTAAAACGCGAGCTGGACTATTGGCAGGTGGATCAGCACGCCATCAAATCCTGCTGTTGGCGTCATTACAGATCTTACATAGAAAACAAACGCATCCTCGACTCCTTCAACCGAAGTCTGAAGAAAGAGACATTTTCTGTTGACGTCAGCAAGTTTGAAGGATGGAAAAAAGTACAGATGCAAATGTGGTTAATTTTAGAGCACCCAAGGACTTCCAAAATAGCAATGGTGAGATTGTGATGTGTACCGAAAAATGACAACACTAGAACAATTTTCAAATGTCTACAATGAAGCGCATTGAAGTGGTAAAATTTTCCGTTTGACTGGAACGTTTTGAGCTATCTTTAGAACGATGATTGTCATACAATGACACGCCTATTTCTTTAGAAAGGAGAAATCGGTCAAATAGTTCATTCAAATACCTGTAGAACAGGTATTCCATAAATATAACAGCCAATCAAATTGACGGTCTACTTAAACACCGAGTAAGCACGTGTTCGACCAAAACTTGTGTTTTGGTAACTCCAATAAACATGATAAATTCATAATTATATACAAATTCGTTGTAATTAAGTGTTTTACAGAAGGGGGACTCTCTAACTCACTTTTATAACTTTAAAAAATCCCCATTTCAGTGAAACTCATATTGCTTGTCGCGAAGAGTGGGGTGTCCTAAAAAATTACGACGAATGTTTCTTTTCGTTTCTGAAGAAATGGGCGTGTCATAATGTTATAATTGACGTTCATAACATGACTCAGAACGTTTCATCCAAACGGAAAATTTTACCACTTCAATGCGCTTCATTGTACATCAATAAAAAGATTGTCTAAATTTGTGAGTTTTAATATTTTTTAAAATTATAAAATATAAGGTTTAGAAGGCTAACTTTAAAAATTTTTTCGATTGCCCCCTCCCTCTCGTGAAAAATTTTCAAATCAATGCTGAATTTTCAAAATCTATTTTTCAGAATGCATAAAAAATAATTATTGTTTCCTGGAGATTAAAAAAAGTTTTGGATAGGGTCACTATGAGCCAGTCGGCGGGGAGAGGGTACCTAGCATTTTTTTTAAAATGACATAAGATCTAAATCTTTTTCTTTCAGGCCTATGGAGTTGTTTCGCTCTTGTTCGTTATTGTATCTATCCTTGGGTTCTGTTTGGAAACTCTGCCGGGTCTTAGACCAAGCACGCGTTCCCACAACAGTTCAATGAACGTCAACTGCCCCGGGAACAAGACCAAAATCATAGAACTCAGGGAGAACGAAGGACTCTACATATTAGACGTAATTTGTACAGTGTACTTCACCATAGAACTCGTTGTCAGATTTATCTTTGCTCCACAGAAACTGAAGTTCATCCGTTCCGCTATGAACATCATCGACCTACTCGCTCTGGTGCCTCTATATATGCAGTTAATTCTCAACTCAGATGACATGCGAGCTTGCTATATGAATGAACAACTGATCATTGAAATCATGTTTGTTCTACGTATAATACGTATGTTCCGAATATTTCATTTGGTGAAACATTATCAGGCGTTGAAAATCTTAGTGTATGCATTGAAAGCAAGTCTTCAAGAATTATTGATGCTCGCAATTTTCCTCATAATAGGTATGTTGATATTTTCTTCCTTGATTTACTATGCAGAAAGGCATAAAATAAATTCTGGGGAGCCAGAAACTATAACAACCATTCCGATGGGATTTTGGTGGGCGATAATCACTATGACGACAGTAGGGTACGGTGACAAACACCCGACAACGACTGTCGGTTATATTGTGGGAACCGCATGCGCAGTGGCAGGTGTTCTTATGATCGCCCTTACCATTCCAGTTATATCCAATAATTTTACACTTTTCTATACACATGTACGTTCAAAAGGGGGGAAAGGGCCCCCTAATTCAGATTCCAGGGAATCACTTGTATTATCATCCATTGATGACTTGGACAAAGAAACAGAACTTGATGAAAAACGGAAGTTATCGAGCGGGTCCTTGGTTGTGGAGGCGTACATGAATGGAACACATGTTATTCGAAAATTGACTTCAAAGTCCGGAAGTCCACAATATTCTCCAATTCTGAGAAGAATTCCGGAGTCAAGCTCTTTAGTAGACATTTGTGATAGGCGGAAATGTAATGGAGAATTTGACCTTATCAGAAACAACAGTAGTAAAGCTAAAAGTGACGACGGCGTTACTTACACAGGGGAAACACCGCTTTGATAAAACAGGTCTTCTATGTCATTGTTGGCAAAATAATGTCATGTGAGTGGTGGATATATTGAACATCTAAGAATTTTTTTTAAATTTTTTATTTTATTTAGTTTTTTTTTTGGGGGGGGGGGGGGGGGTCTAAATTATAAAGTGTAAAATTCTAAAATCTAAATAATTTTTTTACTGCCAAAAATTAATCTTAAAATTCTATTTGAAATAAAGTGTATTTTAATTTGGAGAAAATTCTCCAAAAACATTTTTGAAGAACACTTGTCACATGATAAAAGTTGGCAAATATATATTAGTAAATAAATGAAGCCATGTGGCATGCGCATCATAAAAACTAACTTCAGTAAAATTTAAAATGTTCCAAAGATTCTTGAATTTGTAATTGTATATGAATATCAATGCACATCGGATCATTTTCACCCATCATTATTGAATGTTGTTCCCCCATTTTAATGCTATGCAAGAATGTAGATTGGTATACTATAAATGTTTTGAAATTATTGTATTTTATTATTATTTGCTGAAATATCGTTATTATGTATCATTTTTGATGATCTTGCACATTACAATAGGATCAATTTTTCACAAACAGATAGGATTTCATGCACAACCTGAATATTAAATCTTTTAGGGAACAAAGCGAAAGATCTTTAAAGCCGTCTTTATAGACGGTATTTCCTTTTAATTAAGTTCGTCATAACCGAGTTTTACTGTAGATTAATTGCAGGTGTGTATAAGATAAATTTATATTAATGACTAGGGATGTCAACGAGTACCCGGTTAACCGGGTACTCGATCGAACGTCCTAGTATCGAATACTAGAAGCGGTACTCGGTTACTCGGATGTATATTTTTGAATATTTCTAAGTTTATAGTTATTAATGCATTAAACAATCTGTTTTAAAAGGTAAAATACTCATTGCACTTGTCAGTAATTATGGTTTCCTACTCCTCTAAATGACCGTTATCGCCTGTGGCAGTGTTTATACAGTAATTATCGTGACCAAGCGCCTGACCTTCGGCTGTCTTCTACCCTTATTTTTTGATTTTCTTTAATTATTTGTTTTCACTGAACATCTTTTAAGGTCTGTTATGATTAAGTAAATTAGATAATCTTGTCAATTTTCTGAGAAGCCGTAATTTCTCGGGAATATAGAGACAGATGATATTACACGCGCGACTGTTGATATCGTTGTGTTTCATTACATGCCAATACATGTACAAATAGTTGACGGCAAAGGCTTAAAAAATAATGTCCATCATTGCACCAAACTACAAAATACCGTCCCGTGATACTATAAAATCTAGGATCTGTTAGAACTTGGTATTGATATGAATGTACCTTGACGTCAAATGCAACAAAGAGTTACATTACAATTACGGAGTAGATTATTTTTTTTTTTAAACAAAAACACCATGAACAACTTACGATTATATTTCTTGTGTTTATCTTATAAATAAATTGAACTTAAATAAATGTTGTATTAAATTTCGTCGGGCACGAAGTTCTATAATCATTGTTACAACAGAAATGCATTTACGTGACCTCCCATCAGAGCTTTAGTGTTTTGTCATCAATTTACTTGTTCATATTTATTTACTCGAGTATTAAAAATTGACCGATTTGACATCCCTATTAATGACCATTGCAATTGTTAGAAATTCTAAATGAACAATTGCTTTTTAAATTACTATTTACAGAATTTTTACGAATATAACATGAGCAATTCTTTTGATCAGATATATTTGATTGTTGTGTTTACCTATCACTTTGTAACCTGACTTTATTGGCTCAGAAATGTCCTTTTTAAAACAAGAATTTTTTTGTTGAATGCAAATCTTATTTATGATTTTATATGATATTTTATCAACGAAGAGTACCATATATGTACTTAAAATTTATTAACAAAGGTAGTTGACTAATGTTTTTATTGTTTATGTATAGCCAGCTGAGTTTTTTAATTACTAGTACCATTTTGTACATATAGCTTTAAATTATTAATGAATCGAAGCTTCCAAAGTTCATGTTGGTGGTTTTCTCTGAAAATGAGGAAATTGTTATTAATCATTCCTTAACCTCAAACTATTGGGTTTTTTTTAATTATTGGAATGTGTTTTAGCAATCCAATGACTATTACCATCATTAAGAGGTTCAGATTGTATGTCCGAAGTCAGGAGGTTTGACAAACACGAGTTTTCGTATTGTTGATTGAGCAATAATGGAATCTTTCATGTACATGTATATGATGAAACAATCATTTTTTTAAACTCTAATGGCGTATGTCACATAATGTACAGCTTGTTTGTATATGCACATACTTTTTGATATTCTAGTCATTTTTTACTTTGCTCACTATGATGATTGTACACAAATTACGGTGACGGATTGACCAGTTTTTATTTGTGTTGATAATTTTTTTTTCAATGTTTTTACACGTTGCAGACCAAGGCTTTTAAATCGATGTCGTGTTGTTACGGGCTTGCTCGTATAAGTGCACTGGCTATTCAGATAAGCATTCCACGTGAAATTTTTACACATTGTTATCTTTGTTTATTTGTTTGCTGCTATTTACATCTCAATAAAATTGAGTTGAAATGCAATCTTGCCTAATTTTTCCTAGTAAGAAACTAGAACTGTCCAATAGGGACAAATACCCCCCGCTGGGTTTTTCAGAGAAGGTGCCAATTCAAAAATACTTTATGGATCTAGAGGTGTTCACAATTTACTTACAAAAATTTGCAGTGAAATATAATTGCTCATCATGTTTCTTAATGAATGAAACAAAGGTGCAACCAAATGAAACATCAATACTAATACATTGTAATTCCACTGTAACATTTTTTTTTATTTTTTCATTTTATTTTTTTTTATTTCTGCATTAAAAAAATATATTGCAATTATGTGTTATGTCACTCTGCAAACTGATTGTTAAAAAAAAACATAATACAAAATCAAATTAATCTTGATATATCAATTTGAAATGCATTTTGAAAATAAAGAGCTGGTCATCCAGTAATGAAGTGCTTTGACAGACAATAAATTACAATTAAGAGAATAAGAGAAGAGAGATCTTTAATTCTTGTGCCTTATTCCCTGGAGATTAGATAATACACACACTTGATAAGAGATATGCCTTAACAACTTCCAACACCAAACTCATTAATTTATCTTTAACTGGATGCATGTCCAGTCATTATTCCCAAGAGACAAATGAAATTACATTATCTTCTGTGCATGTAAAAACTGTTTTTAACTTGATGATGTTTCTTTTTTTTTAAGTTTTTATGAGTAGTTTTAAGCTGTAGTATTTTTGAACAGATATTCTAGATTCTATATCTCAAACCTTATACAAGAGCCCAAAATGAACAAGTCAATTAAAATAAAAAATAAAACCTGTTAAATGCAAAAAAATTAACAAAAAGAGTTGAAAATTCCAGGTGTACACCTTCATCTGGTGAATAATAAGTGTACAAATTTTCAGATTAATCCTTGCAATAGTTTCTGAGAAACGGTCCGGACAAAACCACAAAATAAAAATGAAAAAACACCTGTAAAATTCAAAATAATAATCGAATCAAGATGAAAATATCAGGTGCACAACTTCATATGGTGAATAATATGTGTACAAATTTTCAGACAAATCCTTCCAATAGTTTCTGAGTAATGGTCCGGACAAAATCTCGTCTACAGACAGACAGACAGACAGGGGTAAAATTAACGTATTTTCCAGCAGTGTGGGGTTTTTTGGGTACTGTGGGGTTAACCCCATAATGAAGAGGTCTAATTACGTTCAAAATTACTCTATGAGGTCGAAAAACCTAAAATTAGATTTAACCTCACAAAGACTTTGTCCAAATTTTGGACATGTCCTTAGCCCAAAACGCTCAGACATTCAGAAATCTGCTGTTTAGAGGAGTTCGGTAATTGAATCGAGGAGTTCCGAATACCTGAGCATGCGCATATATTTAAAACTAACTGCGCATGCGCAGAATACGGAAGTAGCTGTGTGGACATTTTGTATTAGCAGTGAGGAAATTCGGAAACACAAAAAGCAAATGCAGTAAGTCTTACTATTTTGTTGCACCACATTGAAAAAAAGCTTTGTAAGTTAATTGATATGATTCATACGTAGATTATGCAGTTGTAGAATTTATTTAAAGTCAAGGAAAGGACACTTGTAGTCCACATAAACACATACCGATTGAAAACGGGCTTTTGTGAAAAAAATTATAATGATTGAATGCACTGATAATTCTTTTTTTAATCAGAGGTCTGCAATGAAAATCGACCGATACCCTGGGGTCGGGCTAGTGGTTTTCTGCAAGAGGGTCGCCCCGTTGGCCAGTTAAAAAAGATAATATTATTTATACACGTGCAATACATGCAAAGCACACCTGGTACGTATTTTCACTCGTTTTTTGCAACAAAAATCCAAACCATTTAAATTTTCCATATAACATGCTCCAACTGTCAATAAATCTCCATAATTTAATCCGTGTTGGAGTACTACTTGGCTTATTTACTTCAAAATACGATCGTGTTTTTTTCTTAATTCGAATTTTTTCTATATCTATGGTAATTACATGCAGATATCTCATAACATAAATACATGTGATTCTTCCGATGGGAGACAAAATCTCTGGATTTTTCACGCCTCTTCCGCCCCTTCCGATTAATTTTTAAATCATCCGTGTTTAAATTTTTTTCAAATTGAATATTTTTGGCTTTAATTTTATCCTGTTTCGTAGTATAATTGCTCTCTCTCTCTCTCTCTCTCTCTCTCTCTCTCAATTCATTCTAGATACGTACCGATTTTTTATCTACTCTTCACACATTTGTTTACATGTACTTGAAATCGTACCTTAATATATAGAGAAAAAATCAGAATGGAAAAATGGAATTAATGTCACTGCAATAAATTTTCGCAGCAAGTAGGCTTCGAAGGAATCAACATGGGGTTGTATAATTAGGTTGTAAAATTTAGTGGTATATCAATTTGATAAATGACAATCAATGTTTATAAATGAGTGTAGGACATTGTAATCAGTTGTTAAAATACCCAATATGTCACATTGCTCACACAGTCGCTTGTGTAATTATGTGCCGGATAAAAAAATTCACCTATTAAAGAAATTAAACAAATTACCTTTAGATACGTTTATATAACTCTCTTTGTGTTAATGGAAAAAATATAATTGTCCTGTAAGATCAATTTGTACTTATTTTTCAAGATCGACCATTTAAAATTTAAAAGAATTAAATCACAATTAATAAAGAAATTCAAGCTTAAAGCTTCATTTTGTAATTTACAATATTAATTCATCATTACTTTGAATATTTACAGTGAGAGTATGTAACTTAGCTAATACAGGTCTATCAGTATTTTCACACCTGTTAGATTTTGATTCCGTGTTGAAGCTCTAATTGCAACTCTTGTCAAAACAAATGATTTGTATAGCATGATTATCTCGTGAATTTCACCATCAGGAGACGATCGATAGGGATTAGTTACGCTCTGGTGCACTTGACACCTGTGTTGTAGTAGAATGATTTTAAACTGCGTTAATACAAATCTTTGGTCAATTGAATAATTTTTTGTATGTGTCTGTATGTTAGATAGAAATTCTGACAGCTTAAAAAAATAATATTAAAAAATTACCAGACTTTAAAAACTTCAGCAAAGTACTTGATCGAGGATTAATTGAAAGGGGGGGGGGGTTACACTGCTGATCATTACCTGAACATATTATAGTGAAGTTTTTAAATGAATTTTATTGACACTTACTGAAATAAATTTTTATACTTTATTTAATTCACCATTAAACTGTCTTTTAATTAAAGCTTTTATATTTTTTCTTATTTAAAAAATAGATAGTAGTAAGGCACATGTATTTCTTCTTGAATGATTTGAATGTTACAAAGGAACACTCAGAGTTCCCGAAACTAGTCAAAAATATGTCGGACAATTGTCTTGTAAATATTCAAAATTCACCGGACAGTTGTAAAATTTACCGGACATTAATTTTTTGTATGTAAATTTAACATATTATAGGATTGGAAATTGTAACGATATAATAAATGATATGTGTAAATAAAAAGATGGCAGATTAAAAAAAAAATTATTGAAATATTTTGTATATGGCCTTTGTATGCAGGATTTGACGTCGCCGAAGGCGTGTGATGACCAACGCTTAATTCATGTATAAATTTATTATGTCCTTTCTGACAGATTTTAAAAATGTTTTTAAAAATAAAATCTGCAACGCGACAACTCTTGGTTGATTGTTTGGAAAATATGTTGTTTTCCAGGCTTTTTTCTTTTGGATTTTTGTATTTTATGTGCCAGGAAAAATATTACGTAAAATATCAAACTCGTTTTAAAAAGCCTGGTAAAACGTCCGATATTTCTGACTAGTTAAAATTTATTATACAACCTCCATACAGTTAAAAATATGTACTAATGATATAAAGATATGCAAATTTATCATGAAAATGATGATTTTAAGTGAATTTGTTGTCGTTTTACTACATTCAAGTCAATCCGCTATTTTTAGAAAAGGGGAAAAACGCGCTTGTATTTTAAATGCTATCAAATACATTTAAAAAAATCCAGAAGTTGGTATAATATTATCATGCTAATAGATTAAATTATAGAGAAAATAATAAATGGTAACAAATTGTCTGTAATCAAGCAGAAATAGCAGGCACTCTTGCAACCCTGCAAATTCGTCCTTCAAAACGAAAGTAGATTGTCACATTTTTTTTACTGTCAGAACTACAGAGTGCATATATTTATCATTGAAAATATTTGTTGACAGGGTTTTTAAAACTGTTTTTCCTCCCAGACTTATGGAAATTATTATTTTAATATGTAGCTTTTTATAGTAGACAATCAACGTCTACATTTTATTTAAACAAGATCTGGCGATGCCCTGACGTTTTTTTTTTTTTTTTTTTCATTCCTTTAGTTTTGCATTTGTTTATTGTCAGGACAATTGAATTAAATGATTTTGTTAAGATTATATGTAAAGGTTATACAGTCTGTAAAAAAAAAAAAATATCGGACATTTTGACCAATAAAATTAAGATTTTACCGGTCCCATTCAAAGTTCACCGGGGATCCCCGGTGGACCGGTGCGTTTCTGGAACTCTGAACACTTATGAACAAAACCTTAAAAATTTAATTTGGAATTCTTTAATTTCATATTTTTTAAATAGGCATGGATTAATATATATATATACACACATACAAAGGTTTTGTGAAATTGACATGTTTAATTAAATCAACTGTAGTGGTTATTGCTGTTTATTTATTGACTGACTGGCTACTTCTTGGGCAAACTGGAATAAGAGGCCACCTGTCTTAAGTGGCTAGTTTCTAGACTTCCCAAAGCTTAAAACAAGTTTGACTGTACTTTTTCACCTTTTACCAATATAAGAAAGTAGTTCACAGTACATTACAACTATGCTTTAAATAAATTTCGATGAATTTTAATTAGTAACTCGGAATTTTTGTATGTGATATAAATAAACATTTGCTTCTGTATTCCTTTGTAGAGTTCAGATACTGAAAGTGAACATCAGTGGAACTTTGATGATCTAGGCCGCTCTATTTTTGCAGCAACACCAGCAGGCGTCGGACATTCATAAAGTTGAAAGAACAAACCTATGACTTGAACACACAATTTGTGATCTGAATATAGTTCACAAATTTAAGGAAAGCAACTATCAAAGACATCCAGATTGATGGTTAGTACATGTTATAAGTGCCCATAAAATCAAGACAACAATATTTTTTTACAATAAATTAAAACATAACCTGTAAAAAAAAATTAAATTGAACATTATCATTTAGAAATATATTTTACTGTATTTTTTTTGACAGGTATACATGAAGTATGAATGAAAGACTTTTCAGAAGAACAAGCACAATCCCGATTCATTCTTGCCATTGTCTGCTCCTGACGGCGACATTTAGGACCTGACTTACTTTTCAGAAAAAGAAGATGAATCGATTTTTGATAGTTGATCTTAAAAAGATAACATTTTCAGGGGTCGTGGATTGAATGACATTTTCTTGCAATCTCCCATGCAGAGTTGTCGTTCGTTCCTCTCTCAGACACCTCTGCAATGGGCTCACGTCAAGATTTTTGACATAACGTATAAAGCGTGATTTTTGCAGGATTGTTTTAAATTGAATTAATAGTTCTGGACTGATTTAGTAAATATCTATCTCAAAATTCAGACATAAACATAGAAATTGAATTGTAATGAATTAAAACAAACGCACTATTTCTCGTGTTTAAAACTGTGTATACGCGAGCCAACGACAGAGGTGAATGTATGAGCCGATGGTAGAGAGTGATTTTCTTGATGGGCAACTAGTTTCAAGTATTTGGATGTCTATTCTCAAGTTACTGCAAACCTTAAATTAACTTCTTGATTATTAGTTAAATGTGAGACCGTTTCTTACTTGAAGTAATCATTTTTTGAATTGAGCTATGTAATCTCTGATTACTTATGTTTATGAGTACTGTTCAGCTTTAAGACAAAAGGATCTTTTATGAACATTGCATTCGTCATGGTGAATTTCTATACATTAAGTAACAGTCATAGTTTTTGTCCTTTTTAATTAGCGATCTCATATTAAATGTGAGAAATAATTATTAAACTGAAATATTTATTTATGTTGTTTGAATTTTATTTTTTGAAAATTGTAAATCAATTGCATGTTGTTTTTTTTTTTCATTTTATTTTAGGGGATGGGAGTGGGGGTGCAGCTCTAAGTTTGAGTATATTTTCCAAAAGGATGTACATCGTTAGTTTTGTTTAAATATCAATTTTAAAATGCAAAATGATGAGATATTAGACTACACATTTTTTCTTAAAACTTCATTTAAATTAATATATTTTGTTTAAAATAAGTAGCAACACCATGCAAGTTTTAGAGTTATTTGACAACTCACTATATACTTGTTTTTTTTTTTTTTACATTTATGAAGATTGTCTCAAATTTTGAGGGGTTTTTTCTGTGTTCTACATTTATTGACATGTTTCTTATCTGTGTTCATCTTGTCGAGTAACTGAAAAGTTTGATTAAATTTTTTTTAAAAAAATCAGGATCATCTCTTTTATTTATTATTATTAATTTACAAAGAAATTATGTATGCTTTTGATGCATAATGTACACTTCAAATTCATGCATCAGCAGATTCAAAGGGAAAATTCTCATTAGAAATAAGCAGTTAAGATAAAGAGATTATCCAATTAAAAATAGTTTGAAAAATATTTAAAACAAATTTTCAAGTATGTTATCAAAATAGGAAAAAGTATTATGAGTATAGTTTGGTATTTTTAATAGTAAAAAAAAGGATATGACGTACTGGCAATTGCATCATCTCACTCAGGGTCTTTCCGTCAGAGTTCGGAAAAACAACCTCGAATGTATTAACATCACCTGATGTTAAAGGTTATGCTTTTCTTGTTTTTTTCAAATATAGGATAGAGGAAGTAAGAAGTCCCTTTTATAGTAAGTTTTATGTAATATCATAGCATTGAATAAAATTAAACTCCATATTCCACAGATAAAAGGTCTTCATGCATTTATTTCGAAGATCATGAAAAGGGGGGGTTGTTGCCATGGCGTCTAACTAATACATTAGAGGTCATTTGTCAGCTAGTCAGAAAGGCTCGAGAAGTTGCGAATGAACATAGTGGGGGTTCTTGTTCTTTTATTACCAGTCCCTGGTAGAGTTTTTTGATATTAGAACATACTGGGGTTTTCAAACACTTAAATTTATATGGTTACTGGTATCTGTTACATGAGAATACAGCGGGGTTGTTTGTTTAACACTCTGAGGTTACTAAGATGTCTAATATTTTCTATCAGAACATATTGTGGTTCTTTTCTAACACTTTGTGGGGTTAATGTTATCTTTTATCTATATAAGAACATAATGGGGTTGTTACACATTATGGGGTTAGTGTTGTCTATTATCTTTATAAGAGTACTTAGTGGGGTTGTTGTCCAAACACTTTATGTGGTTAGTGTTGTCTATTATCTTTATGAGAGTACATAGTGGGGTTGCTGTCCAAACACTTTATGGGGTTAGTGTTGTCTTTTATATTTATAACAATACATAGTGGGGTTGCTGTCCAAACACTTTATGGGGTTAGTGTTGTCTATTATCTTTATGAGAGTACATATTAGGGTTGCTGTCCAAACACCTTATGGGGTTTGTGTTGTCTATTATCTTTATGAGAGTACATAGTGGGGTTGCTGTCCAAACACTTTATGGGGTTAGTGTTGTCTATTATCTTTATAAAAATACATAGTGGGGTTGCTGTCCAAACACTTTATGGGGTTAGTGTTGTCTATTATCTTTATGAAAGTACATAGTGGGGTTGCTGTCCAAACACTTTATGGGGTTAGTGTTGTCTATTATCTTTATGAGAGTACATAGTGGGGTTGCTGTTCAAACACTTTATGGGGTTAGTGTTGTCTATTATCTTTATGAGAGTACATAGTGGAGTTGCTGTCCAAACACTTTATGGGGTTAGTGTTGTCTATTATCTTTATGAGAGTACATAGTGGGGTTGCTGTCCAAACACTTTATGGGGTTAGTGTTGTCTTTTATCTTTATGAGTGTACATAGTGGGGTTGCTGTCCAAACACTTTATGGGGTTAGTGTTGTCTATTATCTATATAAGAACATAGTGGGGTTGCTGTCCAAACACTTTATGGGGTTAGTGTTGTCTATTATCTTTATGCGAGTACATAGTGGGGTTGTTGTCCGAACACTTTATGGGGTTAGTGTTGTCTATTATCTTTATGATAGTACATAGTGCGGTTGCTGTCCAAACACTTTATGGGGTTAGTGTTGTCTATTATCTTCATAAGAATACATAGTGGGGTTATTGTCCAAACACTTAATGGGGTTAGTGTTGTCTATTATCTTTATAAGAGTACATACTGGGGTTGTTTGTCTTATAATTTATGGGGTTAGTGTTGTCTGTTATATCTATATAGCATATTTGGGTTGTTTGTTTAACACTTTCTGGGATATTCTTGTCTATCATCTTCATGTGAAAACATGATAGGTTAATTTACTTTGATGCAACAGTTATCCTCAAATAAAAACATTTTTTTTGCATTGTTACTGATAGGCAGTAGTTGAAAAATGTTATTGCTATATCCGTTCTAAGTTCTTCAGATAAACAGTAACAATTTTAAGTACTTATAATTAGTTGCCCGTAAAGTTGACTTGATATTAAATAATTTATTTTTAACCCCACAAATATAGATCTTTAACCCCACAAATATAGATCTTTAACCCCACAAATATAGACCTTTAACCCCACAATATACCATTTGTTTGAATTCCTAATGAAACCTCTCAAGTCACCACTGTACTATTAATAACCCCACAAAGCAAAATTATAACCCCGCACCTTCCGTAAAATGCACAATGTACCTCTCAACTGTATAGTGTACCTCTCGTAAGAACAGACAGACGGACAGACGGACATGGTGATTCCAATATACCCCCCCCTAAACTTTGTTTGCGGGAGGTATAATTAAAATTGGTATTTTTGAGGATCGAGGAGTAAGCTCGTTATCAAATGATTCGAATTATAAACAAATTGTGTAAGATTACAATCCTGCATTCTTTTCTGGTGACCGTACTATAGCAAACAACTCTTTAAATACATAAGAATAATTGAATTTTCTCAAAGGAAGATTATATGTACATGTATGTTAATGTAATGAATACGGGGGAAATTTCGCCCCCGTTTTTATTTACATAATAAATATAAATGAGCAAATGAAATATTACTAAACTATAATGGATTTATTAACTCGTAACTACACAAGACTAGGTAAAATATTGTATACAAAACATTTATAAACTAATGTTACACATACTTCTTGACTAGAAGTCTATCACATGCATGATTTACATCTACAGTGTATAATATAGTGATTATTACAATATGATTAAATTCATGAATTTGTAATTTTTTACTGCAGTACGATAATGATGCAAAAAAAAAAAAAAATTATGGATTATCTCTCTTTGACTACATTGTAAAGAAGCCTGTGTGTCCTGTTATATTTACATTATCCTCCTACTCATTTTCTACTAGTATCCTCACGAGGCAGTAACTGTAAAAAAAAATTTCATTTATGACCCCCCCTCCAAAAAAACTTATAATGGTTTTGTTTAAATCCCCCCCCCAAAAAAAAATAATGTATAAAATGTTCTTAGGATACTAGTAACTTTACATACACATACTTTTTTCAACCCAAATATATACCAGTATTATATAGGTATAAGCAAGATAAAGATATCAATTTCTCTTTTTGACTTTATTTGTGGGTGTGGATAACAACACAAAATTTCACTTTCCTTTGGTTTCATCAGGAGGAATTTTTACAATAATTTGAAAATTAGGTAACCATTAATTTTGTTTATTTTGAAAAATGAAATAAAAATAATAAAAACATGATGACTAGTCAATGTGCAAGTTACATTATAATTAAAGTGAAACAGGTAACAGAGAAGATACATGTGTATTGTGTTGAAAATAGCCATTTCTTTTCTCCTCATGATTAAAAAATTTTAAAACAAGAGGCCCATGGACCACTTTGCTCACCTGAACACATCAGTTAGGACACAAATAAGTTCAGCATTGAAAAGTTTACTAGGGGGAGCCTTGAATTCTATAATACTTGAAGATGTCTCTGGTATATCAATATAACATAACTTTGCTATAATTATTGAGAAAAAGATTTTTAAAGATTTTTTTCCAGCATATTTATTTTTCAAAGTTTCATCTCCCTTGTCGCCCCTCCCTGCCCCAAGGGGTCATGATTTGAACAAATCCAAATCTTCAATACACGAGAATCTTTATACATGTCAATATGACAAGACATACATGTAGCTTTACTCTTCTTGAGAGGAAAATTTTTTTTCTCTATATTCTTATGTAAAACTTCAATCCACCAACATTACCCATCCCAGAGGGTTATGATTTGAACAATCTTGAATCTTCACCACCTGAGGATGCTTATATATCACCAATCATAGATTTTCTGTTCTTCTTTGGATTTCTAGAGATAATACGTTGTATTTCCATTAGTGAACTCTTTAGAATTAGAGGCGCGTTTGGTCATCTGACTGGGACAGCATGGCATTGTGGATAATACAAAACATGCCAGTCTCAATCCAATTTTAAATGTTTAGTGCATTTGTCATTCTAATGAATAGAAGAACTAAAAGACATGTGTAAAAGAGCGAAAACTCTAACTCTGTCTTCTAATTAATAAAAAATACGACATTTCCGAGGTATGTGTACTGTCTTTAAATGTACCATTACGATAAATAGATACATACGATCACCAATAGATGTAAATTAATTTCCTTATCATCTGTACTCTTGATTTAAATAAAGTCCACAACAATAAAATATTTCATATGCATTTTGTTAGTATTTGTTCATCGACATTCAACATGTTGTTTACATGTTTATGTTACGTTTGTCCCAGAAATCCCGCGAGATTTGTACATTCTCCGACTTTTTCACAAAAGAGTGCACTAAGAACTATAACTCTTCAATAGTGGAAATAGAACACGTGTATTCCTTCAAATTTCTACTTAAACCTTAGAGTACCCATTGTGGCCCAATCCTACCCCTGGGGGTAGAAGCTTTCAAGTAAATTTCATCTTTTCTAGCCCACTTGTTCTTGTGAGGAAGAATTTTAAATACTAGTACATGCACTCACACAATATTCTATTTCTTAGTTATCTTCCCTTGGAAGAGGATGTGTCCCTTCATTTGAATAAATTCAAATCCCCTTTACTCAAGGATATTCTGTGCCAAATTTGGTTGAAATTGGCCTAGTGGTTTTTGAGAAAATGAAAATATGAAAAGTTTAGAACAATGAAAGACTATGGGTAAATATCGATCAGAAAAGCTCACTTGAGCCTTCGGTTCAGGTGAGCTGAAAAAAAAAATTAAAATTCAAAATTTAACCTACTTAATTAAAATTCTTCATGATCAGAAATTTTAGGTGAAAATACAAATTAAACTCATATATCACGCAGTTTCTTAATATACAGGTAAGGAATAAACACAGCTGCACAAAATAATGACAAAATATAATACCCATACAACACAATAAAACAACATAAAAGTTTTCAGTTTTATGCTGCAAATAAATCACTTGCATCAAATAAAATGCTGTGAAAATAATAATCAATCATTATTAACTAATTGTTCAAAACTTTCAGAAATGATATAAAGTGGACAAAAAAATCCAAATAAAACCTTTTCATTACTAGAAGAAGGACCAGCCAAAAAAAAAAAAAAATACAGAAGGCCCTTTTACATGAAATAATGAATACATATGTTAAAAACATCTTCAACAGCAAAACAGTTTATAAAACATCAGATCTATCTGTAATGTAAATGTACATTTATGAAGTCGTTTAAAAAATTGATGGCACATACATGTATAGGCCCTTTTACATGAAATAATGAATACATATGTTAAAAACATCTTCAACAGCAAAACAGTTTATAAAACATCAGATCTATCTGTAATGTAAATGTACATTTATGAAGTCATTTAAAAAATTGATGGCATGTACATGTATATAAAGTCTTAAGCACCTTTTCACGATTATACCCGTATAATCATTGCGTGTGCATGAAAAATTTCTATCAGAATTCTATCATTATGGTGATATTTGATTAAATACAGTAAAACTTGGTTATAAAGAATTTGCACACAGGGAAACAAGAAGGTACAGATTGGACCTTACTGTGCCCTAAAAAATTCATGTTCTTAAAAAATCATGATATTGGCTTTAACATGAGTTGAGTAGAGGAATGTGATAAATGAAATCATTCAAAAATACGGCACAAAGGAGGACCATTCTGGAAATATGACATCATTAATTTAGTGCTTTTTTAAGTTTTATACAGAAATGCCTCAAAATGATCATTTCTGTGGCATGAAGGAGGATCATTCTGGAAAAGTGACATCATTAATTTGGTCCATTTTTAAGTTTTATGCAGAAAAGTCTCAAAATGACTCATTTTCTTGTTATTTTCCTCTGACAGAAAATTGTGTCTGCAGTCGTTGCCCACTTTAATTTTTGGATACCTTGTGTAAAATGCTTTGAAAAATCAGATACCTCAAAATCTTTGTGGTTAATGCATGTGCTTTATGTTTTCTGAAAGAAAATTCTACTGAAAATAGATGTCTTTCTTTAACTTTAATAATTGTCAATTTCATGTCACAATAAGCATTCAGAAGGTCATTTTGGAAAAATAATTTGAATTTTTTTTTTACTGCATGGAATTCAGAGAGAATGAATTTTAATTTCTCACATCATCTGAATTTTAGAAATGTATTGAAACATATACCTTGTTCCTTTTATGTACCACTTTCAAGACTTTACACTATATTCCTTATATAGACCTAAAACTTTGTTACACACAGTCCCTGTGACTTTCTGAAGATTTTTACCATATTTAAAAAAAATTCCATCAGGACTGTTGACTACAGATATTTTTAAATACAAATTTGATCTGATTGGCCAAGAACAATCAAATGACACATTTACATGAAGACCTACATTAACTGCCATAAATTGGTGTGTAGTCAGATGATTGCACAGTTGAGGCACAGCCACTGTTCAGATCAACAGTTTTATATCCATCCTCACCAGAGGTAGAACTTGAAAGGTAGCCACCAGAGTTTGATTGGGAGCCACCAGAGTTTGATAAGGAGCCACCAGAGTTTGGAAGGGGGCCACCAGAGTTAGATAAGGAGCCACCAGAATTTGGTAGGGGGACACCAGAGTTAGATAAGGAGCCACCAGAATTTGGTAGGGGGGCACCAGAGTTTGAGGAGTCTTCCTCATCTGAATCCTCTGGAGGACTTTTTATGATGGTTTCATTCATTTGAGGAGGGGAATCCTGTAAATTTTGTAAAGATATGTCACCTACACAGGAGGACAATAAAACATCCCCCCTAACAGGTGCTTGCTGTTCCTCTACTGGTACAACATTTGCAGTTGTACAAGGAGATGATAAATTAGAACTCCCATTTGATCCTGCGCTGTCAGTGTTTTGTTCGGTATTTGACGATCTGGATTGTAAGTTAACAAGTAATTCATCATCTGTCTCTGAAAAGTACAATTATATAAAATTAATTATTTGTGAAATTTTGCATGCTGTCGTTTAAGCAATGCATTTAATATGATGCAACGTATGTAATGTATTTTAGCATTGGTAAAGAATTATACAAAACTCATTCTTGAGTATATGTAACTGTTTTAATGAAGTTAAATTATTATAGAGCAAAATCAACAATCTTTCACAAATTATACCAAATCAAAAAAAAAACTCTTTCAATATATTAAATTAATAATACCTGCATTAACGTCTTCATTGACATTGACTTTGCTGTAAGAGTCAACCTTTGAATTGGTATTGTAAGATGTCTCGAAATACGCAGACATGTCCGTAGCTGTCGAGTCCTGTCTGATTTCTCGATAACCATCCTCGTTAGATGAAAATGCCGAACTCTTATCTAACCCTTCCTCTTCAGTTATATCACTTCCTGTTCCATTTGCATTCAATTTTGACTTGTTATAATTGGATGATCCACTATGATTTGAAAATTCATCCTGTGGTTTTGATTGGCTGAAATCAATGCTTGACAATTCAGATTGGGGTTTTGATTGGCTGAAATGACTATCTGATTGAGATCTGGATTGGATGAATACATCACTGTTGTTTGTATGTCCAGAAGCAGTGATGAACTTAGAGTAATCTGAAGACTGAGAGGTGGACTTTTGTTTCTTGTACAATTCAGACTTTTCCATGTCTTCTAAAATATCAGGGACCTCTAAGATATCTGTCGTGTTTTCTTCGTCTTTTGCTATGTGGTCATCATAGTAATTAGAGAAAATTTTCTCTTTTTCAGCCTCAAAACCATCCATTAGAATTGGCTCACTCAATATCTACATGAAATTATGAAATTTTATAAGGCACATTATATAGTCATCATGTACAATGCAGTTTTGGTCACATTTAAAATCATTCATATGAATTAATTAACATCATGAACATTGATTATTTTGGGCAATATAATGAATATATATATATAAATAATTTTTGTATGTATCTTTCAAGTTTCATAACATACTGACCTTAATTAATGCATTCTTAAAACAAACATAAAATGCACACTTAAAACCACAAGCAGATTAGATTGGATTTCCTTACCATGTATTTGTTTCCATCTCTCTTATCTGTGTACTGTACGGTGTAATTTGTGTAACCACTACCTTTTTCACTTGTCTAAAATCAGAAAAGAAATTCATTAAAACATGTTGAATAAAAAATAAATACATGTACATATCAATATCAAATAAACCCAGGGGCAATAAATTTCAAAACTTTAGTAGGTCTACGGCACTCAGTGCTTATTATAACATTGCAGACAGTTTGACCGTTTTATTTTTTAGGAGTAAATAAGAATTTTGATGGGTTTTTTTACTCACCCATTGGGTCCAGGGAGTCGGAAAGGGGGGAGGGGACAAATCAAATATTATTTCACACTTGTTCCCTATTACCCACATATGCAATATACCGAAACTGAACAGAATTGGTTCAGTTGCTCAGTAGACGATTAAATTTTTTAAAAAGTTTACCAGCAAAACAGATAGCACATTCAACAGATGAAAAAAAAGATCGTAACTGGTCACCTTATTGATGCAGATGACCTAAAAAAAGTTCATTTTACCTTAGAGGCAACAACTGGCACTTCAATTGCTGGTTCAGGTTTTGACCTATACTTTCTGAAATGAAAAGCATATCATATTTGAATAGGTTAAACATTGTAGACCTACAAAGCAAAAGGAGAGATTTAAGTTTGCCTCCTAGAAAAACAAGAGGCCCAGGGGCCACATCGCTCACCTGAGCACATCAGCTAGGAAAAAGCACAGATCAGATCAGAACTGAAATGTTCACTGAAGGGAGGGGGGCTTGAATTTTAATACTACTTGAGATTGCCTTCATATTAATACAGCATATGACTTTGCTGTTCTTGATAAAAAGATTTTTTAAAAACATTTTCTTCCTATGTATGACTTCATAATAATTTGAATTTGATTCCCCATTGTTTCCCTCCCTACCCCAAAGGGCCGTGCTTTGAATAAATTTAAATCTTCAATACATGAGGATGCTTAAATGTCAATATGACTACACATAGCTATTCTGTTCTTGGGATTTTTCCCTTTATTTTTCTATGTAAAACTTTGATCCACCATTTGGCCCCACCGTACCCTTGGGAGTTATGATTTGAACAAATTTAATTCTACACTACCCAAAAATGCTTCCATATAAATACTAGTTTTACTAATCATGACTTTGCTATTCTTGAGAAGACTTTTTTTTTATATATTTTAATGTAAAACTTGGATCTCCCATTGTAGCCCACCCTATCCCAGGGGGTTATGATTTGAACAAACTAGAATCTACACTACCTGAGGATGATTCCACATAAATATCATTAATCATGGCTATGAAATACTTGAGAAAACGATTTTAAAAGATTTCCCTATCTAGTCCAATGTAGAACTTTGATCAGCCATTTTGCCCCCCCTCCCCCCCAAACCCCCAGGGTTCATGATTTGAACAAACTTGAATCTACACTACCTGAGGATGCATGATTTCACATAAGTTTCATCTTTCCTGGCCCAGTGATTCTTGAGAAGAAGATTTTCAAAGATTTTTCCTATATATTCCTATGTAAAACTTTGATCCGCCATTGTGGCCCCATCCTACCCCCGGGGGTCATGATTTGAATAAACATGAATGTACACTACCTGAGGATGCTTTCACATGAGTTTCATCTTTCCTGGTCCAGTGGTTCTTGAGAAGAAGATTTTTAAAGATTTTCCCTATATACTCCTATGTAAAACTTTGATCGGCCATTGTGGCCCCACCCTAACCCCGGGTGTCATGATTTGAACAAACTTGAATGTATACTACCTGAGGATGCTTTCACATGAGTTTCATCTTTCCTGGCCCAGTAGTTCTTGAGAAGAAGATTTTTGAAAAATGCCATTAATTTTTTCACTAATTCATAACTAGAAAACTGCCAATTCAGATAAGAGGTATTCACTATTGTCTAATAAAGTGCCTTGCCACAGCATGATACGCCCTTCAAATATTGTTCGATAATCATAAATTGGTTAGGGTGCAAGAAAATTAAGTAACCTTGATTAACAGATTGACACAGATTTCAATGATCTAATTTCCATTTCTTATCATGTTTAAAATATTGTACATACATCTCTAAGAGACTTTCAGTGTAGGGATTAATTAAAACAAATACATGTAATACATCATATAATTCTAAACTGGCTGTGTTAGAGCTTAACAAATATCCATCTGCAGCTTTATTGCATATTTTTTTAAATAATGGAAATGCTACAGTCTAATAAAAAAAATCCATTATTCTTTAGACTATAAAATTCTAAGTGAGACATGACTGCAATTTGTTGCAAATATATAAAAATTGAAATGTAATTTTTTTTTTCAATGACCAGTAATTAATTTTAATTATATTATACAATACTAATTCAGTTTTAATCATACACTAAAACATCAATTTGTTTTAAACAAACTTATAAGGCCAATGCCCAACTCCCAAGAGATTAATTAAGATTAGATCTAGAGATGCTCTTGCCAGTTAACTCCCGACAATGAACTCATTAATTTCTCTCTAATTTGACATGCACATTTCTGCTATCAAAAATTCTCCTTGACCAGTGCTTGATAATTATGCCCATGGGACAAACTGAATTCCTCTCAAATCATTAACATTTGTTTTAGAATTTGCTGTAAAGTATATGATAAAAAATAAGTTTTTACTTAATTTAGCATTTTTTAATAAGGATACAACTATATTTTTACATTTTTTAGGATTATGAAATTTAAAATTTTTGTTTTTAAAAAAAAATCACTTAAATTAAAGGTCACAGTGACCTTGAAATAGGTCGTGACACATCGTCTTCCCAAGATGCATAAATTGTCCAAGTTTGATCATTGTAAGTAATAGTTTTCTAAAACAAAATCACAAAATAAAAAATAAAAAACGCCTGTAAAATGCAGAAAAATCATCCAATCATGATGAAAATCCCAGGTGCACACCTTCATATGGTGAATAATAAGTGTATAAATTTTCAGACAAATCCATCCAAAGTTTTGAGAAACGGTCCGGACAAAATCTTGTCTACAGACAGACGGACAGACGGACATGGTGATTCCAATATACCCCCCTAAACTTCGTTTGCGGGGGTATAATTATCTCCCCTTGGAAAAGGGCTCGGTCCTTCATTTGAACAAATTTGAATCCCCCCTAAGGATACTTTGTGACAAGTTTGGTTGAAATTGGCCCAGTGGTTCTTGAGAAGAAGATGAGAACGTGAAAAGTTGACGCTGCCGCCGCCACCGACGACAGACAACGGACAAATTTTGATCAGAAAGGCTCACTTGAGCCTTCGGCTCAGGTGAGCAAAAAATGTTATCAAATTTGTTTTTTTTTTTCACAAGATTTCAGTTCATTTACTTTAACTTAAAAAAATTACCTTCTGGCAAACCAAATTGCAAGTACAAGCATCAAGACACACAGTACACCGACAATTGGCCATATTATCTCCGGATTATTTACAATGTCTGATACTAAAAGATAAAAAAGAACCAAACATTAGATCATAAACTGATTTCCACTCTGTTGATATTTTTCCATTAAAGTAGCAATAAATATACCAGAATAACAAGGCAAGAGATTGGAATGAGAAAAAAATTGTACAGAAAGAGCAATGGAATGCATATTTTTATTGTTCAATGTGTTGCTGTACTTTATATAAATGTGCTCAATTTGGCATTTTACCACTTGTGTCCCTTATTGGGTAAGGTTTGACATCATAAATCTTGCTGCCCTCTTTAGTCCGGCCATCTTTGGACAGTGAACTGAATCTGACACGGTACGTTTTTGTGGAATCCAAGCCCTCAAGCCTGCAGTTCCTATCACCAGGCTCCAACAAAACATGACTCCAAACTAGAAATAAAAGAGGATACAAGAACAAGGTACACATCAGGAAAGGTTTTACAGCAAACTCCTCAAAATTCTTGATATTGGTTCTGCCCCCCCCCCCTTCAAAAAAAAAAAAAGAGGCAAAACTTGAAGTCCTTAACAGTAACCTGAATATCCTGAAACACCAGTTTCCTTGAACCCCTGACCCTTGGTCCATAAATTTCACAATTCGGGTAGAGGGATCAGTGCTTATTTTAATCATGTCAACTGTTTGACTGCTTGAGGTATACATGTATTTTTAAAATAACAGTAGTTTTGATGATTTAAGCTCCCCCCCCACCCTCACCCCCCCCCCCCACACACACACCCCTCCCATCCACGGAGGGCTGGGACCATTGAATTCACAATTTTTTGTTTCCCTTCACTCATAGATGTTATATCCCACAATTATCTGAAATTGGTTTAGCAGTTCCAGAGAAGAAGTTAAAACAGTTAACCCATGATGGACAAAATAGACAACAATACTTTATAGGTCATCTGAGTGATTCTTTTATATTTTCTGTTACAGTCAAGGTATCAAAAGTAAATATCAATAGATTATGCAGGTTGGGATTGCATTTTGACTTCAAGGGATCAAGGGTTTCAAGAGATTGAGAGTTTGAGAGATCAAGAATAGTTTGCTTATTTATACATGTATAGGGAAACCAGAAGTCTCTGTCGAGACTGAAGCTCTACTGGTTTGTACTTATAGCAAAAGAAGACAAAAGTACTTAAGCAGTTGAGAATTGAAACTTTACAACAGCAATAAATAGAATACTGATCCTTGATAAAGTCTCTTTACGTTCTTAGTGTAGTCCACTTGTGTGCTACGGAGGAGTAGCATTTTGAAACAATTTTACAGAACTTTCTATTTTTAGTAACCATGGCAACACCGCTCATCGAAATCAAAAACCGATAAACAGAATTGTGTATCTTAGTGTTGTCTACTTGTGTGCCAAGTTATATTGAAATCAGACCAAAACTGTAGGAGAAGTGGCATTTTGAAACAATTTTACAGAAATTTCTATTTTTAGTAACCACGGCAACACCGTTCATTGAAATCAAAAACCGATATACAGTTATGTATTTAAGTGTAGTCTACTTGTGCACCAAGTTATATTGAAATCAGACCAAAACTGTAGGAGGAGTAGCATTTTGAAACAATTTTACAGAAATTTCTATTTTTAGTAACCACGGCAACACCGTTCATCGAAATCAAAAACTGATGTATAGAATTATGTATCTTAGTGTAGTCTACTTGTGTGCCAAGTTATATTGAAATGAGACCAAAACTGTAGGAGGAGCAGCATTTTGAAACAATTTCACAGAAAATTCTATTTTTAGTAACCACGGCAACAACGTTCACCGAAATCAAAAACTGATGTACAGAATTATGTATCTTAGTGTAGTCTACTTGTGTGCCAAGTTATATTGAAATTAGACCAAAACTGTAGGAAAACTGTAGGAGGAGTAGCATTTTGAAAATTGTTTACAGACAGACAGCTAGACAGACGAATGGACGCCGGACACATTACTATCGCATAAGCTCTTCTGGTCTCTGACCTGTAGAGCTAAAAATTGGGACCACAGACACAGTTACCTGTATACATATTATGTAACATTCTGCACATTTTAAGTGTCAGAAAATGCTAACCCTGAGAGCATCTATTCATTAGGTCAAGGTCACACCAGGTGACATTAATCCACTGAGGATAGGAGGATAGGTCATCACATTGTATGAACCATGACAAGTCTAGGGCCTCCTGATTAGGTTTGACGGTCACTGCCACAGGTAAGGCTGGCTCTACAGGTAGAAAGGGTCAAAGGTCATCAGGGAAGGTTAATAAAATGACAGTGTAACACACTACAGGTTTTTGTAGAACAAGCGTCACTAAGGTCATGCATTCAATGAATGACTTTGTTATGCCATTTAATTTAAATTATTCATCAATTTATTAAGTTTTAAGAGGTGACCTACCTTTCTCATCAAAATATTTACACCTGAACCAGTGCAGACCTCCCCCTGCAATGTGTGGGTTTTCCAAGGAACTATGGTTTAGATTGGCAGAACAGGATACACCCACTTTTTCCAAGTTGTGAAGTGGTGCAGCAAGAATTGTGGAATTTTGAAAGCTAATCTTCCAGTCCAAATTGTTACCCTGTTGCAAGTGTGCAATGTGAAAATACACTACATTAGAGAAAATGACTAATTAAAAGTAATAAGAAATCTGTGAGCCAATGCTCACTAGTAATACCCCCGCTCTGATGTGAATATACAATATCATGTTAATAATTAATGTTCAGTTACTGGTATATGCATGTATAAATAGGAATTTGACATCAGATTCATATAAAAATAAATCCACCATACTGCATGCCCCAACAAAGTATGTACTAAAATTTCAACAATCTGTTATGAGGAGTTACTGAGAAAACTGCGATGAAAATTTGTTATTTGGGAAACGGACAGATGCAATGACAAACAGGAAGTTGATATTAGATTTGAACAAAAATTAATCCCACCATATGACATGCCTCAGAGAAGACTGTGTTAAAATTTCAAGCATCTGCAATGAGTAGTTGCTGAGCAAACCGTGACAAAAATTTGTTATGCATAAAACATATATGAAACGGACAGACGCACGGACAAACAGGAAGTTGACATCAGATTTGAACAGAAATGATCCCACCATATGGCATGCCTCAGAAAAGATTGTGTTAAAATTTCAAGCATCTGCGATGAGTAGTTGCTGAGAAAACTGCCACAAAAATTTGTTGTGTATGAAACGGACAGATGCATAGATAAACAGGAAATTGACATCAGACTTGTACAAAAATTGATCCCATTATATGGCATGCCTCAGAGAAGATTATATTAAAATTTCAAGTATCTGCGATGAGTAGTTGCTGAGAAAACTGCAAAGAAATTTTGTTACGGACAGACACACAAGGGTGAAACAGTACACCCCCTCTCCTTCGAAGCGGGGGTATAATAACCATCCATTTATCAAAATCACTCATGTCTCTTCCCTGTGTACTAAACTGGTCAGGATCCTTTGATCTTGAGGAAGTACATATGCAGTTTTTGACTGCCTCATCTTTCTGACAGAAGACTTGCATGGTTAAAATGTTGATTAATTTATAGAAATGAGCACAATACTGCATTAACTTACTGACATCCAAAACACCACATAGTGCTGACAGGTTTTATTCCCTTTCCATCTTATATTTGCACTGGATCTATTTCTGTCCACCTCTATCACAACAGTGGATGGGGTAGGTATAGCTGTCAAAAAAACAAATTTTAAAAATGTGTACCGGTATATGACTCCTGAGAATTATTCTGCTTATAATTAATACATGTCCTTAGATTTGCTATACACTTATTTTTTTTTAAAGAAATAGTTTTATGCAAGGTTAAAATTTTTATGTTTCAGATAATTACATTGTACATGTTTTTTATTTTATTTACTACTCTCATAAAAAGTACCTGTTTTGGGTGGGATAAGTACAGATGCACTAGGACTTCTATATCCCTCTTGAGTTACGGCAGTTATACTGACATTGTAGCACTTCTCCGGGTGTAGACTCAGTGTTACGTTCTCATACTGGCTAGACAGACTGTAATTATCCTTACCATCAGATGACGTGTAACTGATGAAGTAGCCAATAACAATTCCATTTCGGTCTATGGGCTTTATTGGCTGTTATCAAAAAATGATTCAATATACATGTGTATAAACTGTCTGTAAATCAATCCTGCTCTCATTAAGGTCTTCTGATCAACTTTAAGTCAATATATCAACTAAATATATACCATATACAGTGTGAATATACATGTACACACATATATGAGACACAGAAATAAAAAGTGAAATATTTTAAAATCATCCTCCGTATCATACCTTCCAATATAAAATAGTTTCATTTCCATATATGTGGTAAAAACTCCCTTCTGTAATATTGGGGGGTGAAGCAGGCACTGAAATGCAAAAGAAAATGTTTTGGAAACATACAGTTGAACTTTGGTGTCTTGAAGACCAATATCTAAAACACCGACGATGTGTCAAAGTACGGTAATTTGTAAGTCCCAACAACTTATGCTTTAAGGTAGGTCACTCGTCAGCTTTTCAGAAAAGTTCGCGCAAAACCTCTTACTTCAAACCTTTTTATTAGAATTCAATATTTATAACATATCATAATTCAACAATGTATATTTTTCAATATTAAATAAAAAAACTGCTCAAAAATCCACAAAGAAGCAAGATTTATGAACTATTTCTTGTGGTGGACGGATATTTTGCAGAAAATTCTGCAAATCTGCACATTTATTAAATTTAACATCTTGGAACTTTAGCCTCACATACTTTTACTCCGGAAATATTTTCCGCTATGATATGCTACGAATATTTAATAAAGGTCTTAATTTATATTTTTAGAACAAATTTTACACCTTCCCTCAACAAACTTTGCTTAGAAATGAAGATATGTTGAAGAAGTCAAGATAAAATTTACACTGTTTTTTGCCTGAAAATTACATGTTTTGACCAATATTTCAAAATTAACATCACTGACCCCAACTTTTTCTTTCGTTATTTTAAACTACTCGATACTTTTGACTGATCAGCACTGAAGTCGTAAAAAGTTTGATACAAGAAAATATTTTTTTTGTCTATTTAGATTTTTAATACCCCCGAATAAGTTGCTTTTAGTGCAAAAAGGTCACATAATAATTTACGCGCATTAATTAGCAAGATTTGTTCAACGAGAAATATTATTCAAACTATTTTACGTAAAATAAGATTACATTTTTTGCCAACGTAACATCTAGTAAAATATAATAAAGGTTAAAGTAATTAACCAAAGAGTTGAAATTTAAGTGCAAAAAGGTTAACTTAATTGTGCCGTAGCTCAGTTAGATGCACACTGACCCCCCATTTTCTCTGCGATTTTGAGTCATATTATATGAGTACTTATCCAAAATATACTTCTCAAAAAATCCTTGATTTAGGAAATTTCATGAGTGACATACCTTAAGTATTTTACCCTCATCATTTCAAATCCTCAGATATGTCAATTTTGTTTTCTTGGTCTTATGGAATTTCAGATAAGGAGGTTTTACTATATTTAAGGTCTTCCGTCTTCAGCGGAAGACCTTCTTGTTATTCTTAGGTTTCTTTTCCACTATTTTTATTAAGGTCTTCCGTCTTCAGCGGAAGACCTTATTGTTTTTCTTCGGTTTCTTTTTCACTTTTATTATTTTTTTTTTTTTTCTTACCGATTTTGTGCACGCGATTTCTCGAAAACGGCTCAACAAAATTTTATGAAACTTTCAGGACGTATGGAACATCACTTGAACCTTATGCGTTTTTTTCCGTTTCGATGATGTCACTTCCGGTCTAGAGATATCGTCGATTTTCTGATTTTTAAGGGTCATTTCGTCCACAATTTTCCCGAAAAACGGCTCTAGATAGAAACTTCAAACTTTGAGGCTAGGTAGAGCTATGTCTGGAGAGGTGCATCAGGTATATCAAATTTACCGGAAGTGACGCTCGTCGGCGCTCGCTATGGCCCGAAAATAGACCTATCACAAATTTCAAAATTTCTCACACCTTTTCCTCGATATCTTTTTACCTGAAAATATTTTGTGAAAACGTATAGAACAAAAGAAGTGCAGAATTAAAAGATCTTTCAAATGATATCTCGAAAAAAGGGCTGGCCCCTAAATTTAAGGGCCTAGAGGGTCCAACAGTTTTTTCTTTATATCTCAAAACGTATTGAGAATTTGTAATACGTCAAAGAAGCAAAGTTGTTCAAAATGACAAGCTTAATCTATTGAAGTTGTCAGAAAACGTCCGGCGTCGTCACTTCCGTCCAAACCGGAAGTAGTCGAAAAACGCGTATTGTTGCCGTTCTTGACAAGTTTTTTGGTAACAAATGTCTCTAGAAGCAAAAAAATAATTTTTTCGGTCAAACCGGAAGTAGCAAAAAATTGCTTATTTTTGCATTAATTAACATAGCATTAAAGGATTCAAACCATTTTTAGGCGTTATTTCTCATTTTTGTTAAAAATTAATACTACTTCCGGTCAAACAGGACGGAAGACCTACTCGTTGCTTTGCAATGAGCTTTGCTCTAGTTATTTTTATTATTGTTTTTTTTTCTTACCGATTTTGTGCACGCGATTTCTCGGAAACGGCTCGATCGATTTTTATGAAACTTTCAGGACTGATGGAACATCAAACAAACCTGGTTATTTTTATTATTGTTTTTTTTTCTTTCCGATTTTGTGCACGCGATTTCTCGGAAACAACTCGATCGATTTTCATGATATATAATTTTTTTGTTTTTATGACGTCACTTCCGGTTTCGAGATTTCCGCGATTTAGTGATTTTCAGAGGGTCACATTGTCCAGCATTTTTCTCAAAAGTACTTTTAGATAGAAACGTAAGATTTTCAGTGATGATAGAGCAACATGTGCTGATGTGACACACACCTTTCTTATTCTCCGGAAGTGCAGCACGTCGGCGCTCGCTATGGCTCAAAAAAAGATCTATCGGGAATTTAGAAATTTTTCACACATTTTTGGCAATATCTTTTTACACGTTAATAATTTGTAAACACATATAGAACAAAAGTTGTGAAGAATGTCACGATCTTTCGAAAGATATCAACAATAAGGGGCTGGCCCCTATATTAAAGGGCCAAAAGGGGCCGAAAGTTTTTCCTTTATATATCAAAAAGTATTGAGAATTTGTAATACGTCAAAGAAGCAAAGTTGTTCAAAATATCAAGCTTTATCTAATGGCGTCGTCAAAATACGTCCGGCGACGTCACTTCCTGTCAAACCGGAAGTAGTCAAAAAATGCATATTTTTGCTGTTCTTGACCGGTTTTTGGATATTATATATCACCGGAAGCTTAAATCTTAATTTTCCGTCCATCGATGTTACTTCCGGTCAAACCGGAAGTTGTCAAAAATGACTTAATTTTGGAATAATTAACATAGATTTGGAGGATAAAACCATTTTGGTACTTCATTACTCTTTATTATTTTTTTTAAATGAAAGTTACTTCCGGTCAAACAGGACGGAAGACCTACTCGTTGCTTTGCAACGAGCTCGGCTCTAGTTCTTTTTCTTTTCTCTGTAAGAACTCTTTGAAAGTTAATTGATTTCTTGATCATTCTATTGGAATGTCATCAAACAATAGGTCTGGAGCTAAGGAGGTCTCATATGTATGTAGATCTCGTGCAGCTGTCTATGTGTTTGACATCAGTGGGCGGGGACTATTGAAATTGACATGAGAGGCCTCGTGTAATATAGATATATTAATTTTATTATATTAGACTACATTTTAAAATCTAAATTTATATTTTTTTTTTTCACAATGAAATGGAAATATAAGGAATCACCGTTTAGTTAGTAGAGTATGCAAGGGATATCAATGATAGTTAGAAATGTGGGATAATTTATGTACAAGTACACGTTGGTCTGCGAAAAATATATTAACCTCTCATAACTACATTCAAATTACATGTAGAATTGAGCTTGGAAATGACCTGAAAAACATTTTTCTCTAAGACAAAACTTCTGTCAATAGAAAAGTTTACCCACTTTGTTATGATACTTCCCTTACAGAGACAAAAAAGGGAGCTTCTGAGAATCCAGTAAACTAAAAAATTAGCTGTCGATTTGTTCATTGATCACCTTTAAACAAATGCGAGCAGTAAGACTTACCATCTGGCATTGTTTTGAAGGTGAAGTAAGCTGGGTCGCTCCAGTATCCGTCCTCCTGGTATCCCTGCCTTGTCATGGTCAGCTTACGGCGAGTTATGTTGAAGGTGTAATCCGTAAAGGGAATCAGGTCACATAACTGCAAGTATTGCTCAACATGGTCACGTGGACTGACCTCTTTCTGAAAAAAAAAAAAAAAACCAATATTTATTGAAAAGGTTACAAAATGCAAAGCTCATAAAATATTTAAGATAAGTGTATTCTAAAGAAAATGTTTGTAATAGAAATAGCAGGATTAGAAATACAGACCTGCCTACCCTTTTAATTGCAAGGGTGTAATTTCAGTACATTTTGGTGGAATTTCAGAGGTAAAGGTGTAATCAATCATGCTTTCCTATTTTTTGTTTTACTATTATATAATAATACTTTATTTTCTTTCAGAACAACCAAAATTGTACATTATTAAACAAAGCTGGCATAAACTTTTCTTAACTTTTTGAATCATCTATTGGCAAAAAAAAAAGTTTTTTAAAATACAAGTATCCTATATCAAACTCGATTCGGTGTACAGCTGAATCGAGTTTGATATAGGATACTTGTATTTGGTCAGTTTGTATCAAATCACTTAAATGAAGGCTTGCGTTTGAATATTAAAACAAATCGTACAGTATAAAATTGTTTTTTATCTTTTTAACACTCACATTTCTCTATCTTGTTCTAAGCAATGTTAAAATAAACCTAATTGAGCATAGAAACAGCTGTACGTTTTGCAATATAACGTTTAATAGTTAAGGTAAGTGGTGCCTTCTCATCTTCTTTCCAATCTTCGCCATACCAGTTTACATGCAACTACTAGGTATGTTATATACATTATAGAACTGGTCCTCTATTAATTAATTTTACTAAAATTTCTCATTTCATTTCAGCATGTCGTACTTTAAATCTAAATTTAGACGTCCACAATGGAATTTTAATCAAAATATCAAAAGCAAAAAATTGATAACAGTCACAGTGGCGTTATATTGTAATTTTGTATTAAAAAGCGGAAGAATTACGCCAAAAGCGGAAGGGCAGGCAGGTCTGGAAACACATAGGACAAAAATGCCATGGATCATGGTAATTTTTATTGTAACATAAAAAAAATTTATCGTTTTCTTCAGTCTGAAAAAATAAAAGAAATGTGATACAGTGTTCAAAATTGATTGAATATTACGTAAGTGTTTCACAAACATCTCTTGCTTTTTAGATAGACATGCATTTTATAAATAAATAAAATGTTAAGGCAAAAGTCAAAACAGACAGGGGCAATAGTAAGTTAATTTTTGTGGATATTATACAGTTAAATATATCATTGAGGGAGTCCACAAGTTTCCAGTTCCCCAAGAGTAAGTCTATTTCCCAAGGCGCTTGCGCCGAGGGAAATAGGCTTGCTCGAGGGGAACTGGAAACTTGCGGACTCCCTCAATGATATACTTTAACTGTTTTATTATACTGATACAAACAAGACATTTGAAAAAGTTATATTCGCCATTTCTGTTGTCGTTTGCTACCAGTAAACTAGTTCTTTTTTGATTGATATTGGACCAGTTGACTCGCGATGCATTTCGATTTATTAATGAATATTCATGAGTTTATTCGAAACATTTCTAAGTTTGTCATAAGTTTAAAGAAAATGCTAAGTGTTCCGAATAGATGTGTATCGGTTCATAAAAAAAACGAACTTTTTTTGCAGGGAATCAGTTTATTCACAGTGATTTTCAGGAAATCAGCAAAATATATTGATTTACTTTTGTATAGTGAAAAATCTGTAGAGGTATAATAATAAAATTTGATTATTCATTTAATTATAAAGCAATTGTGACATTACATGAATGTTCATATTGTTTGAAATGAAAATTTATACATACCCTCTGTGGAATTGAAATGTTCCATTCATCAGATACAATGAAGACCAACACTTGGAATCTAAATTTTCTGGTAGTCCATTTGACTGTCAAACATGTGCTTGATATATTCTCAGCAAAAACGTCTGATATCGGAGCTGGTTTCACTTTAAAGACAACAATAGCTATTGAATTGACATATGTATCTGAAAAATTGAATTCTGTTTTAATTTAATCCATAGGAAATGAGATATTAATTGCAGCTTTTTCTGATTTAATTACTTCCCTTGAAAGATTTCTAGAATGAAAACAATTTTGGTGTCCATGCAAAATCATGTATGAAAGGCCTTGGGGAAAAGAAAATGATAGCCATTAATTTGGAACTTTTTAATTTAGTTATCATGAACTCAAACTTCACCCATAGAGATTCCCTCATTAGAGCGCCAAATTGGGTGCCCTATTGGGTGCCCTACAGTATGTAAGATGTATTCATATCTTTTATCTTTTTTTTTTTACACCCCAAAGTTTCAGTCCGATTACAGCAATCTATATGTCTGTGATGTTTCATCGCAAATTTTGATCAAAATAAGAAATACTATTTATTTCAAAATCCTGATATACCATTTTATTTCCAAAAATCATAATAAAACTAATTTCATTACAACTTAGTACTGTTAATCCGTATAATAGGTACCCCACCATTCCCAATAAATATCTGCTTAATTCAAATAAATATTGTGTGTAATTGAAATGATAATGATTTTTCATGCAACATTTTAGGCACAGATTTGTACAGAATAAAGGTGGGGGATAATGTGTACTTACTGTAGAAAAAAACATGTACATACAAAAGCTAATTTGAGACCTGACTCACCAATACTTTTAGCTGATTTGGTAAAAACACTCTGGACAGATTGGTTCGTTTTGATGTTGTGAACAGTCAAATAGAATCTATACCAATAGGGATCATCAAATGTTTCCTTCCACTGGCAGAAAGTTTGGTTTATCTTGGCTGGATACAGCCTTTGGTAACTACTACAAAACAAAGGACACAGTTGATATATACTGCATGGTGATTTATTTAGTATTATCTTAACAGCTACAAGTAGCTTGATATTAGTCTAATAATACTACACTCATCCTTTGGTATTAAATTATAAGAAATTGATTATTGGTATACAACATGTATAACTATATCATTCATAACATTTAAATTTCATTGAATACAAACACCTGTTATGCATGTTTTTCTGTAACATATATTAGCTGGATGTAAACATGCAGTTATCAAAATCTTTTTTTTTCTTGCTTTGGTATTATTATTATTAGAAACAGTACAATAACAGTTTCTTTAATAAAGCTAGTAATTAAACTTAATTAGCACAATCATAAAGGATGGATGAAAATAATGGAAAGGATCTTTGCAAGCCAAGAATTTTTTGTCTGTTTTCCTTGCCACAAACTGTTGGCAGCTAGTTTTCACCACTAAACTGTGGACAACATAAGCAACACCTTCTGGAGGACTATAAATGTTAATAACTCTGGTTTTAGGCCAACCAGTTCATAGTTATTGTAGTTTGGTATCCATTATATACAAGAAATGAAGATTGACACAGTAACAGATATGGAAGGACTATGAAAGATAAATAACAGTGTATAAAAAAACAAAAATAATAAGCTGAGAATGTAATGTTTGCGTGTTTACAAGAAAACTGTCGGATTAACAAAATGTTTAAAGATGATGTTCTCGATCCTTTTTTTTTTAATGAAATAATTCAACATGAAAGCTGTTCTCTCATTGCTTCCAAGGGTCTAGCTTAGAATAAACAAGGTATAAGCCAGCTTTACATAGTGTGTGGCATACATAATCTGTCAAGAGTTTGTAGTAAGTAAAGCAGCTAGACCAACAAGAGGCCCATGAGCCACATCGCTCACCTGAGCACTAAGGGTAGGAAAAAGTAGAAAATGGTTTTTTATTGTAAAGTTTAATTCCAAAAGTAGTCCCATGACCAATCATGGATTTGCTATTTTTTAGAAAATGATTTTTAAAGAATGTTCCTATATATATCTTTGAAAACTTTGGTCGGCCATTTTGGCCCCACCTTACCCTCGGGGGTCATGATTTGAACAAACTTGAATCCACACTACCTGAGCATGCTTCCATATAAATATGATGAATTATGGCTTTGTCATTCTTGAGAAGATTTTTAAAGATTTTCTATGTTAAATTTATGTTTGGTCGGCCATTTTGGCCCTGCCCTACCCCCGGGGGTCATGATTTGAACAAACTTGAATATACACTACCTGAGCATGCTTCTATATATATATGATGAATTATGGCTTTGTCATTCTTGAGAAGAAGATTTTTAAAGAATTTTCCTATATATTTCTATGTAAAACTTTGGTCAGCCATTTTGGCCCCGTCCTACCCCCGGGGGTCATGATTTGAACAAACTTTAAACTACACTACCTGAGCATGCTTCCATATATATATGATGAATTATGGCTTTGTCATTCTTGAGAAGAAGATTTTTAAGGAAATTTCCTATATATTTCTATGTAAAACTTTGGTCGGCCATTTTGGCCCCGTCCTAACCCCGGGGGTCATGATTTGAACAAATTTGAATCTACACTACCTGAGCATGCTTCCATATAAATATGATGAATTATGGCTTTGTCATTCTTGAGAAGAAGATTTTTAAAGAATTTTCCTATATATTTTTATGTAAAACTTTGGTCGGCCATTTTGGCCCCACCTTACTCCTGGGGTCATGATTTGAACAAACTTGAATCTACACTACCTGAGGATGTTTCTCCATAAGTTTCATCTTTCCTGGCACAGTGGTTCTTGAGAAGAAGATTTTTAAAATATGCCACCAAATTTTCATTTATTCCCAATTATCTCCCCCTGAATGAGGGCGTGGCCCTTCATTTGAACAAACTTGAATCCCCTTCACCCAAGGATACTTTGTGGCAAGTTTGGTTGAAATTGGCCCAGCGGTTCTTGAGAAGAAGTCGAAAATGTGAAAAGTTTACAGACGGACAGACAGCTAGACAGACGGACGCCGGACAAAATGTGATCAGAAAAGCTCACTTGAGCTTTCAGCTCAGGTGAACTAAAAACCCTTGGCTTGCCAAAATGACTGGAAAGAGATTTAAAAACCAAAAATTGTGTCTTGACAGAATGAATAAGGTTGAGGATATTTTGTGAATATCGATCTGTATTTTAAAGGAACTAATGAATATTTGAATTGAAATAAAAGCTATGTATTGCAGGTTTGAAGTTTCTAAGGACAGAACTTGATATTTATCACCTTGCACACTTCCATGAGATATTTCATGGAAATCTGTCTAGATTGAATGTATCAGGAAACACCTTTATGGATGTTCAAAAACTAGAATTACGTTTTTTAAATGACATTTAGTTTTCAGATGTTATATGTCATAATTGTCATCATCTGAGGAAAAAGAAATGACTTCATAAAAAATATTATTTAGGAAATAACATGCAATCTGAAAAGTTTTTAAAATTAATTTAGATAAATCTCATCTGATGCATTCATTTAAACCTTACAATAAGTACACATGTACTTGGTCCTCTAAATCTTCTTCCAAAGGACTCTCCCTTTATTCATAAAAAATATCAATTATAAATATTTAGATTTATATAATAATTGTATGCCAAAAATTTAGTTATCTAATCTTTCCAAACAAACCAAACAGAGAGGGTTTACTTCAACCTTATTTTCTTTTATATATCAGATATGCATGCACACCTACTGGTCCCCAAACTAGAAAGTATATATACATACATGTACAGCTGTAGCATTATCTGTGTGCAAAGGAACATTCAATGGAACCTCACATAGAAAGTATAATTTAAAAGAAACTAGAACTGTCCAAACGGGACAAAATACCTCCCACTGGGTTTTTTCAGAAGTAAGTTTTTCCATAATAAAGATATGTATCACACATGAATTATGAAATTTTTCTTCCAGTGACCTTGAAATTCCCCAAATGACCTTGGATCAAGGTCATGACATACCCTTGGGTCATGGGCAATCTTTGTGTGAAATGAGAACCTACCAAGTTTATCAATAAGAAAGATATGGACCGGACATGAATTATGAACTTTTTCTTCAAGTGACCTTGAAAATCCCCAAATGACCTTGGGTCAAGGTCATGATAAACCCTTGGGTCACGGGCAATCCTTGTGTAGAATGAGATCCTACCAAGTTTATCCATAAAAAAGATGTAGACCGGACACGAATTATGAACTTTTTCTTCCAGTGACCTTGAACTTCCCCAAATGAACTTGGGTCAAGGTCATGACAAACCCTTGGGACAAAGGCAATCTTTGTGTGAATTGAGAACCTACCAAGTTTATCCATAAGAAAGATATGGACCGGACATGAATTATGAACTTTTTCTTCCAGTGACCTTGAACTTCCCCAAATGACCTTGGGTCAAGGTCATGACATACTCTTAGCTCATGGGCAATCTTTGTGTGGAGTAGTAGATTCTAATGTCCCTCCGTAAGAAAGATATGGACCGGACACGTTTGCACAGACAGCTAGACAGACGGACAGACAGACAGACGGACAGGGTGATTCCTATATACCCCCCAAAACTTCGTTTGCGGGGTTGTATAAAAAAATCTTTAAATAATGTAATATGTGCTGACTTACAACTGTGCTTTTCATCTTACACTATGTAGCTCTAAATGCTAGTATTATATATCAAGAAGTTATTAACAACCACCCCCCCCCCCCCTTTCCTTTTGCAGGTGCCCTATATTGATCAGTCTGTGCATCCAATTGTGCATCGGAATTTTGAACTCGAGTCTTACAAAAAAATCATCTCAAAAAATGGCTCGAAAAAAGATTAAGTCAGGTGCATTTTGAGAAGGTCAGTAAATAACTGCATACCGGTACATTTTTTTTTTATTTTAAGCCGTGTACTTACCTGGTCTCGGCAATGACAGTAACATTGATGTTGCCCTTGTTTTTATAAGCGCCCATCTCCCAGGAACAGGAAAGAGAATGGTCCCAGTCGTACAGTACACACCAAAAGTCACTGTCATTTACAGGCTGTAGGGGGTCTGAAGAATATATAGAGGATATCTATATTGTGTGATTTGATATTGGCTTTATCCAACGAGTTGAAATGGTGTATATATTCGCGAGGCTTGCCGAGCGAATATACACCATTTCAACGAGTTGGATAAAGCCAATATCAAATCACACAATTATAGATGTTCTATTTATCTCATACGACTTTCGTTTTAACAAAACTTTGAGACTTCCCCCGCGAAACTACTTGAATGATTGCTTATTCAAACTGATGACGTATAACTTGATGACGTAGCACCGTTGATGTTTACATGCGTGGATAGAAAGTAGATCGAGTTCAAAATTTAGAATATTTGCTATCTGTGTCTTTGAAAACATCATGTGAAAATTGCTGGAGCTTTACGTCAAACGAACTTCTGACTGAAAGTTGTTAGGACTAAGGGGATCGTGAAAATCAACTCTTTTTACGATGGCAGTACAAATCGTGCTAGGCAAGGCTAGGGGCCTAGACTTTGTCTAGATTGTTTGCTGATCCATGGTAAGTTACACCTACATTACTAGGTAGGCATACGTAGTATAATATAAGAAAGCATTGTTAAAGATGTCAAAGGAGTCTTATAACAACAACTTAACTGGTACATGTAGGCTTTACTTTCTCCGAAAACGATCTAAGGGGGGGGGGGGTAACATCTGTCTTCAAATAGCCAACGGGTTCCTTGATAAAATAAGACACTTCTTTGACATCTTGCTTTTAACGATATTGCTACCCTTTATCATTCATTTTATAAGGGCAACAATTTTCACAAATAAAAGTTTCAATAAAATAAAATCTTGAAGCGAGGGTTCGTGTCAAAACCGGAAGTGCTATTGATAAAGCATCTACCCGTTGATAAAGCATAAGTTTATCCAACGGCCTGTATCACCAACACGTATGAGATAAAGATATATATTGAATGGATAGTAAATTCATCACAGAAAATTTTACTTTTCAGAATGATCTTGAATCAAAGATGTTAAAGAACTTTATTTGGTAATAATCAATATTTGCCCCCCAAATCAATTATTGACGGAGAAATATTTAATTATGTTCTTAAACAGGGGAATGTATGCTGACTTCAAAGCACTGAATATTTTCATAAGAAATGATGTCATATGTTTGAAATGAAGTCACGAAAATGACGTAAATTTAAAATTTCCATAATTTCTACAGAAAAATGTATATATTAATACGTCGATATTTTGAGTAAAAATCACCGAGCCCATGTCTGATCAGGCTTAATATTTTGATATAATGTGTAAAATGATAATATCAATGAAATATGTAAATACTGTTCCTGAGCAAACTTGCGCTCTATAAATTTTAAAGCTAAAATTCTTGAAATTTAGTCCATTTTGTCTTCTTTCTAAGAAATGATATAAAATCGGACTAGTTTGTGACGTCATAAAAACAAAAATTGTGAAGAAACTACTTTGAAACTATAACAAGTTCTGTTAATTTATATTTCTCATACAATTTATAGAATTCAGCACATTTCCAGAAGTTTTCAAAATGTGACTTTTGTGGGGGCAAAGATATGCAATATACATGATATACCGCATATAGTTCTTTATCTTAAATTTTCTTCAATAATCAGAAACCGAATTCATTTAAAAACAATCTAATTAAAATTATACTTCTCAAAATTGTAAATTTATTTGTCATATATGAAAGGATCCAGCACAATCCCTTTGATGAGTGACAAATAGATTTAAAAGGTCTAATTTTAACAATCTATGTTCAAAAAATAGAATTAGTAATGCTTCCTTGATGTTGAAAAACATAATCATTCAATTTCAGCTAACAAATTCATGAAAAGTTAGAATTGATAGCTTATACCATATTAAAACCTTTGATAAACATAAAAAATAATTCTTACACTCAACCTCTACGTAGGTGGATCCAACTTTTTTGTCATTTTTGTAACAATAGTAGACACCCTGATCTTCAAAGTCTGTGATAACCTTCCTTAGTAGGATGGTGTTTTTTCCGTGAAGTTCCATGAATTCTGATTGGTCCACGTTATCGTTACTAAATGTAAACATCAGGAAGTAGGGACTGCTATCTTCTTCAATTGTGCAATTCAATACCAAAGTGGATCCTTTGGTTACGTAAACATTTAATGGGTTGACTTCTGATTAAAAAAAGGTTATAAAGAAATAGAAAAATATTCCTTAATAAAGTGAACATGGTAAATACTTGATTTTAATACAAATGTAATTAAAGCACTCCCATTTAAAGATGGTTCACAGAGATTTTTTTAATATCTTTTCCAAGCAATATAATATAATATTATATTTATTTAAGAAATAGTTAATGCTCTTAACTGCATTAAAAACATTTAATATATTCTCCTTTCATTATAAATAGCCTACCTCCACAGTTACAGCAGTTGTAAATACAAGAGTAAGGCTTAGGATTGTGCATTACCAGGAGACTCAGAAAAGTAAACAAAAACAGAGGTTGACAAAACAACTCCATTTTGACATATTCCACAAATCCTGCTTTATCCCTGAAAACAAGCAGTCCTTTTCATTTCCAAATGAAATTAAGAAGCAAAAAAAAAAAAATCTTTTTAGAAGATGAGTACCTAAACCAAATCTGACAAAGCAGGCAGAGACTGGTAAATAAGAAATACCACATGTATGTTACGACTGACTCATAGTGAACTGGTATTGTGCAAACAATTACATCAAGCAAGGTTACAAAAGTCAGCAAAACAAAAAATGTGACTGGCTTATGTAAACTGTTTCAATATGATGTCTTTGGAGATTGTCGTATCAAAAGTGATCTATAAATCTAAGACTTTAAGTCTCATTTTATGCTTGTTTAAAAATGAATATGATTACAAGTTAGACAACAGTAAAGTGAGTGCATGTCACACAGTCACTTGTTTCTATAAAGCTAAGGCCTATCCCCTTCATAATTTTACACAGTAGTAAAAATTAGTAGGAGGTACATCCCTGAATATGAACACATGCCTGTGGTATTCAGTCCTGCTTACCAAATATTGTGGCTCAGAACTTGTGTACATGTACATATCAGTTACATATATAAATAATTATCTGGTTTATTCCTCCTTTTTATGTCTTTTTCTATTAAATCATGCAAGTCTTTCTCTCTTGAATGCATTTATATTGTACTAGAGGTACTGTGAGCAATGAGCTCACTGAATGATACCCCCGCCTCCCATATGGTTATAATGGCAAAGTCCATGATTTGCTGTGGCCGGGAAACCCAAAATTTGTGTCGGATCAAAAAGTAAAATAGGTGCACAATGGCAATATGTAATAAAGATTCAGTGAAAGTTTCATTAAATTTCACTCAGTGGTATAAGAGGAGTTGCGGATAAGAGATGGGTACCCCAAAGCATAACAGACAGATGGACGGACGGACATACTGATTACAGTACTTTTCAAATGGGGGGTATAATTACATGTACATGCTTTAATATGATGTGTTTCTGTATTTAGCAAGATGATGCAAGTCACCCCACAGGGGCTTGCTCCTGATGTGTTATAATTATTTATTTAAAAAATCATATATGGTAATAATAAAACTGCACAAGGGAGGATGCCATTTTGGACCCCTTCCTTGCTTCAACCTCTGTTTTCGTTATATTTTGCCGCATTTTAGACTAATAAAGTGCCACGCCACAGCATGATACGCCCGTCAAAATATTACACAATTATCTTTAACAGTTTAGACTGCAAGAAAATCACTTCAACCTTGATTCTAAGATTTCCATGATTTTTCCATTTTTAAAAAAAATATTTCTTTATCCATCCCCTGTGCTGTAGGCATAATTATAACAAATATTACATAACTGACAGATTTCTATACTGTTTGTGTTAAACTTTGTCAAATGCCGGCCATCATAATAAACAATATCAAATTAGTCTTAATAACTTAATCTATGCCAAATTAATTTTGAAAAGAAAGGCTGGCCATCAAATGACATTTAATTGCTATGACCAGCAGTTCTGTCTAATCCCCAAAGACAGATAAGGCAGCGCTTGATCAGATAGCCTTCCTACATTGAACTCATTAATTAATCTTTGACTGGATGCTTGTCTACTCATTACTCCCTAAATATTAATGGATCTGCACTTTTTATCCTAAAACACTTTTATAAAATACTCCATGATTTCTTTTTAGATTTAATGCCAGACAGGTTTTATATTTAATTCATATGGTCAAGTAGGCATGCTGATTCAACCCCACCCCATAAAATTAGTTTTTAATTAATTAATATTATATAATATCAGATTATTAGTTTATTATGCAATATCAAATAAGTTTTAATTACTTTTTATCAAATTCATTTTAAAACCTAGATAGCTAGCCACCAAGAGCTATTTTTAATCTAACAGCTAGGCTGGCTGTCCATTTGCCCAATACCCAAGGGATAACACCAAACCTCCTCACACTAAACTCATTAATTTCTCTCTAATTTGACATGCAACTTTCTGCTATCAAAATTCTTCCTGACCAGTGCTTGATAATTATGCCCATGGGACAAACTGAATTCCTCTCATTAACACTGAAATTTGTTTAAGATTGCTGAAAAGTATATGATGAAAAAATAAGTTTTTACTTGATTTAATACTTTTTAATAAGGATACAACTCTATTTTTTACATTTTTAGGATTACGAAATTTAAAATTTAAAAAACTTAAATTTTTAAAAAATTTCACTAAAATTAAAGGTCACAGTGACCTTGAAATAGGTCGCGACACACCTTCTACCTAAGATGTATACTTTTGCCAAGTTTGATAGCTCTAGGTCTAATAGTTTTCTAGTTATGAGCCGGACAGGATTTTTCCATATTTGGCCATAGCATCTTTATTAAAGGTCAGAGCGACCTAATTTTGGTGCGCGACACACCGTCTACCCAAGAAGTATCAGTTGACAAAGTTTGATAATCCTAGGCCTAATAGTATTGAAGTTATGAGCCGGACACGAATGGACAGACGGACGGACGGACGGACACGAAGCCTATAACATAATACGTCCCGTCTTAAGACGGGCGTATAATAAGACGGGCGTATAAAAATAATCCAAAAGCGCTTGTTAGGACAGTTGATATGAACAGAAAGTGAAAGTAACCTCAGCATTTTACATTCGAATACGGAATTATAACATGGTTTTTATCAAATTTATAATTAGCAGTTGTTTAAAATAGTAGAAAAACCCTGAAGTTTTCGAATGCATTTTCGCTTTCTGTCCATATCAACTGTCCTAACGTCAGTGTGTTTGAATTATTTTTTAGTCTGAAATGTGTATTATAGAGGCTCCAATGGGAAAATTCAAGCATAAGGTCTTAGAAGAATCATTACATGATAGATCTGAGGCGGTGAGTGAGTAAAATGCGGCAAAATATAATGAAAACAGAGTTTGAAGCGAGGAAGGGGTCCAAAATGGCGTCCTCCCTTGTGTAGTTTTATTATTACTGTATATGATTTTTAAAACTAGTGCTAATTGTAACGGGAACCGTTACAGATGTTCCCCAAACGCTCCCCAACTCCCTTTTGGTGCCATATTCCCTTTAAGCTTTATAAATAAGACAAACTCTGTGCATTTATGACTTTAACAACTTTTCCCAGAAGGATACCAATTATATTCAAATTTTAGCATTGCACCCGTGCGCATGTGAATGCATGTGCGACATGATTATATCATCTTGTCTACACTATATATGTATTTTAATATACTATATATTAAAGCATTCAGTCCAAAAGTATTAAAAATCACTCATTCAAGAGTGTTTTTAATTTCACTCGTTCCAAATGCACGCATGTGCGTGCACGTGCATGATGACCATATCTTCTTGTAGGAGTCTCCCATATATATCTATGTTCTAAATCCCATCCTGTTTGGTTGAAAAACAAGGGAGTTATAGCCATTTCAAGTTTCAGCCAATCAGATTGCAGCACATGTGCATGCGCGTAATTTCTTGATTTTTTTTCTATATCATATTGTAGGATATCCTAATGCATGACTATGTTTTAAATTTCAAAGCATTTCGTCAAATACAAAGGAGATATAGCCTTTTAAAGTTTCAGCCAATCAGATTGCAGCACACGCGCATGCTTTCATGAACATTCTTATATATTCTGCTGTAGGTCTTCATAATGTAGGACTATGTTTAAAATTTCAAAGGATTATGACAAGAAACAAGCAAGATATTGAGACTTTAGTTACAGCCAATCAGAGGGAAGCGCACGTGCATGCGCATGAGTTCTTGCTATTTTGACCATGCCATCTTGTCTACACTACTAATGTATCCTTACATTATGAGTTTCAAAAAATGTCATTAAACAAGAGATGTTTGTAAAACACTTATGCCCCCCTCCCCCCAAATTGGAATTTTTCCAAGTCCAAGGGGGAAAACTCTGTCAAAAATGGCACGATTGTACCCAAAACAGAACTTGACCTAGATATTCATCTGATAAATCTGTATACTAAATTTCATCTCAGCATGTGCAACGGTTGCAAAGAAAATGAACAGAAACTGCAAATAATTGGAATTTTTCTAAGTCCAAGGGGCATAACTCTGTCAAAAATGGTGCAATCATACCTAAAACAGAACTTGAACTAGAAATTTATGTTATATATCTGTATACAAGATTTCATTTCAGTATGTGCAACGGCTGCAAAGAAAATGAACGGAAACTGCAAATAATTGAAATTTTTCTAAGTCCAAGAGGCATAACTCTGTCAAAAATGGCGCGAACGAACCCAAACCAGAACTTGACCTAGATATTCATGTGATATATCTGTATATTAAATTTCATCTAAGTATGTGCAACGGTTGTAAAGAAAATGAACGGAAACTGCAAATAATTGGAATTTTTCTAAGTCCAAGGGGCATAACTCTGTCAAAAATGGTGCGATCGTACCCAAAACAGAACTTGAACTAGATATTAATCTGATAAATCCCTATACTAAATTTCATCTTAGTATGTGCAACGGTTGCAAAGAAAATGGACGGAAACTGCAAATAATTGGAATTTTTCTAAGTCCAAGGGGCATAACTCTGTGAAAAATGGCGCGATCGTACCCGAAACAGAACTTGACTTAGATATTCATGTGATATATCTGTATACTAAATTTCATCTCAGTATGTGCAACAGTTGTGAAGAAAATGAACGGAAACTGCAAATAATTGAAATTTTTCTAAGTCCAAGAGGCATAACTCTGTCAAAAATGGCGCGAACAAACCCAAACCAGAACTTGACCTAGATATTCATGTGATATATCTGTATATTAAATTTCATCTAAGTATGTGCAACGGTTGTAAAGAAAATGAACGGAAACTGCAAATAATTGGAATTTTTCTAAGTCCAAGGGGCATAACTCTGTCAAAAATAACGCGATCGTATCCGAAACAGAACTTGACCTAGATATTCAATGATATATCTGTATACCAAATTTCATTTCAGTATGTGCAACGGTTGTGAAGAAAATGAACGGAAACTAAGTGGACCGACAGACCGACAGACCGACGG